ACGAGTTTCATGTCCGGGGACACAGTAGAAGACGAAGTCCCTACGCCTAGCTGAGCGTGCAACCGCCTCAACTTCCCTGGGGCAGAGAGCAACCTCTTGGAGCAAAATCACATCTGGGCCGTCTTCATCCAGTAAGACTCTAATGACGCTCCATAGGCCCTTCGCGCCAGCCACATTTACACATGCAACTGTAGTACTGGCCTCTGCGCTGGTGGGCGAGCTCGGACCAGGTTGCCTTTCAACGTCCCCGTCCTGTAACAGGTTTCGGATCCATTGGCTGATGGTCTGGTTGATTGGCACGCCATCATTACACACTCTGCCCTTGACCCGCTGCCAGGCCTGTTGCACCCTGTATTTTGCATTTGGGAGGCGCTTGGATTGGGCGCAGGTAAGCTTAAGGTGGCGAACCTTGCTCCCCCGCCCGTATCCGCCCACTTTTGTGAGGCAATTAGCACACCAGTATTCCATGCACCGCCGAAATTGGGATGCCTTGGGTCCGGTGCTGGCAATAGCCACTATCCGGTGTGTCTTGAAGTGCTTGCTTCTGTATTCTTCACCCCTTTTCACACAAGCGGCATTTACCTTACTACTTCTCGGCACCCTTGCTTGCACGGCTTTCCACATTAGTGCTTTCCACTCCGCAACCGTCATATCGGGATGCTTTGTTTTGCGGTGGTGAGTGACGCTCAACGTGCGCACCCTTCGCGCTTGCTTAGGCAAAGCGGCCTCACAGACCGGGCAGCGCCAGTCACGCTCTGCTTCAGGCAAGTCATGGGTTGCATCCAGGGTCTGGATAAAAGCACGATGCAGGTACGACTTCCATGGGACATCGGGGTGTCTAGCTTTGCAGTGGGATCGCCTCTTGGCGGCAAGCTGCATATATGTCTTGCCTTTCAAGACATCCCCACACGTTGGGCAGGTCCAGCTCTGGAAACCCACCAGAGCTAGTATCTGGAGTGGCAAGTGGTCTCCACCCACTCGCCGGGGTCTCAGCCTCCCTCCAGCGGTTGGATGTGGCACTTTTAAGTGGCGTCACATCCCCCCTACGGGCCCTTTTTGGGGTGCTCACATCCCGCCAAGCGGGGCGCTTTACGCTGGCTGACGCCGCTGATGGCGATGGTGTGCACGCTGGTCTCCAAGATTTAGATCCGGGTGTGGACACTACCTTCTGTGGGCCAGCCCACGGGCTAGGCTTCCCCCCCCCTCGCAGGCATGATGCCGTGACCGCTGCGCTTTCAGCATGCATCCATGCCTGTGGCCACTGCTTCCCTGGCTTCAGACGGGCCAGTTGGTAGTGGCCCTCACGAAGTAAAAGGAAGATTGGAGCTTTACCTGACCGGGGTGTTCCAAACATCATAGGCGCATCCTTAGGGTCTCTTGAGATCGGAATCACCGTGATCATTACCCCATAGCGGCGGGCGGCCGCTAGCAGGGATATTCCATCTATCCACCTTTTGGCTCTCAAGGTTGCCTGCATAAAGCTGTTCCAGTCCGTGGGAGTTTCGCCATCCTCCACGTCTTGGTTACCATTTATGGCAGGGCAATACCACGTACGGTATTCCTCGGAGTGTTTTTCAAGATGCTTATATATGTCATGCCTGATGGTAGTTGCCCGTGTCTGCAAGACAGCGCGCACGTTTGCCTCAGACTCACCCTTTTCCAGGCCCAGAGCCATGGCCAAGGCCAGGTACCCGCATGCCCCTCCACCTCCACACTCCATGACATCATATTTGTCAGCGAATGGGTAAGTCAAAGGTTCAAGGCTTTTTGGCGACCGGCTCCTCTTGGGAGAGGCCTCCCCTTGGTCTGACTTGTCAGGCTTTGGCTCCGACCTTGGGGATCTTGGTCCTTGACCAGCGTAGGTACCCTTGGTCTCTTTTGCATTAGGCTGGCTCACAAAGTTCTTGCCAAATGGCCTCAAGGTGGCCGTCACCTCAGCACGCCTTTGTACCTGCCGTTGGGCGCGTGTCAAGAGTAGGCGCACATCCCCCGCCTCAATTGCCACCAACCCCAAGGCATTCTCGTCGTTGACGACGGTAATGTCACTGCATCCTGTCTCCGTGAGGCACTTAATCACATCGTGATTGTTCCAAGCCTTTGGCGCATGATGCAAGGTCCATGTCTTCATTGACGGGCGGCTCACCTCACTGCGAATGCCAAGTGAGGCACCACCCCCGCGCCTGTGCGCTATGTTGCCTTTTTCACTCTTAGCTTCGGCAACCGCCCTTGCCAGGTAGTCGGTAGGTTTTTCCTCCTCAAAGGGCTGTAGCCACCAGACCGGTTTTCTAGGTTGCGGATCTGATGCCAGGCGCTCTATGAAGAGTCCATCATCACCCATGTGTGACAACATTTTTGTCACATGTTCCTGCTTGGTTCGCAAGAAGCCCTGCAGGATGAATTCATCCTTGGGTGGCTTTTTACACTGTATTTTCTTCTCCTGCCACCCGTACGTCGAGTGAAAGACAGGATGCGGAAACACGGCCGACACTGCTGTCGTTGGGTTGCGCTTGTAGGCTTCCCACGTATCCCTGCTCACAAAGTCTCTCACAAGAGTGGCACGAAGAGTGACCAGCGTCGACTGTGGGACAGCAACGGTGGTCTTGCGTACTTTTTGCTCTGGGAGGTCAGGCAGTTCGTCCCCCAAAGGGCAAACCCACATTTTTCGGATCTGGGGTTTCCCATTTTCCCAAGTGGGCAACTGCATTTCCTTTGTATTTTGAGGTTTTTCATCATCCTTGCTTGGCACTAGTACCAGTGCAAACTTGGTTCCAGTTATCTTATGCATTTTGGCCAATCTCAAGCAATCGTCAAAGATGCTCCTAGAGGGACATATGGCAACCACGCCTGTCGGCGATTTGCCATCCTCCAGCGACATTTTGACCTCACTTGCATTCTTGATTGACTCGTGTGGGAAGGCGTCCCTGAGTAGTGACACTTTTGCAACACTTTGCACTGTGCCAGCCGGGGACATCGTGGCCTGGGCAGCCACTTGCGCCCATGTACGAGCTTTGACTTCCTCTTTCTTATGCTTCTTGCTCGGGGGTGGATTCGGCTCCACCTCACCACCACTCTTTGGCTTTGTATCCGCTGCCTCTGGCTTTACAGTCGCTCCCTTAAGACTCTGTCGGTCCTTCTCAGACTGTTTCTTGCCCGTTAGCTGCTGGCCATTTGCTGCTGAGCGAACCAAATCAGTCAAGCGTTGCAACAAGGTGCCAGGCTCCCTTTTGGATCTTTCGACGACCCTTTCAAGTGCTTTAAAGAGGCCCAGCTCTTTATCCACACCTGCTTTGGCCGGTGACGCCGCAGGTCGCTTCTCGGAGTTCCTGCTGGCTTCGCTACCCTTAGGTTTCGGTTCATCTGCTGCAAACTGCTGCAGCAACAGTTGAAGGCCCTCAAGAAGCCTCGCCTCACGACCCTCAGCTTTCTTTCGCGCCGTTGCTGATGCTCCCCCCGCACCTCCTCGGCACAAGTTGTTCAGTCCTATGCCTTGCGGCTGCTGTGAGTGTATGTCCCGGGATACACTCCATGTGAATTGCCATCTGGCTGGCACATGCATATATTGCGGCACCCACGTCCTTCCCCTTGCCCCAGGGTATCGGCGGCTGCCGATCCTCCGTGCGATCCCCACTTGCCGGGGCGGCCTACGCGCACCCGTCACTCAGAATATATATGAACTTGTACAGGACGACCGTCATGAGAGGATCGCCCAGTATCCTTAGACACTATCCTTAGTACCGACAAGTACCTGCCACCCATCCACGTGGGCAGGATCACCGTGATCCACCCGAGACAAGTGTGCTGGAGCACCAAGTGGGCTACAGCACCCTGTTTCACACTCTTTGAGGCAATACACTGTCACGTGGGCCACAGCCCCTAGCTGACAAAAGCATCATTTTGTGTGACAAGAAATGCACGTGCGAGCGGGCCGCGCCACCCACATCCATCCCCACCCTCAAATGAAGTACACAGCCAGGCGGGCTGGAACCTTTAGGACCATCCAAGCCGAGCGGTATGAACCACCCGACCGGGTGACATTCAATCGTACCGATCCGCCAAGATCCACCTGCGCACCTTGCGATGGATTTCCAACACCCTATGGGCCCGAGCCCCTGTATAATCAAACATGGTCAGAAACGTTCTGGTGAAGGTGCCGTAGTAGCGGAAGGCCTCTTCCCTAGCAAAAGAAGCACCACTAAGGCCCCAAGGTTGCGCAAGGTCCCGCTAAGAACTCCCCCCCCCCCAACGTTTTTCTATTGACTCTGTTGGTCTCTCACGTTCAACCCATATCATCCGGGCTAGATGATTGCATACGCTGCTAGCCTATCAGTTCGACTCAACTTGTTGTTGTTGGTCATCCTTGGTCCGAGACCAGCTTTGGCAGGCCGTGTCCGTCCGATTTGGTTCTCGACTTTTCATGTCTGATCACACCATGCGCTCCGTTTTCGTTTCGGTCCGGTCAGAGGAACGTTTTGCAGACCAACGCAAAAGGTCTCATCAGACAAAAACGGCGGGAAATCATCTGGTCGCGAAACTGGTAACTAGTCTGATGTTGAACAAGCCATGCGTCAATCATTTACAATTCACGTAACACACACACACACACTCAACCCTTCCCCCCTCCCCGCACCGATCTTGGTCCCGACGCATACCTTGAACAACTGTTGAGGGCCAGGGAATTGGGTTTGCTCCTCCCCGAAAAGGTGCAGCGTCTGGGGAGTCTCATGAAAGCGGGGGCCCGCCAGTTGAAACGTCACGGTTTGACACGGGCAGCTTCCCATGCAATGCTCAAGGGGGAAGAGGGAGCCCTGTAAAGTTTACAATTGGACATAAAGAGCGCTTTCCAAGGTTGAAAACTCCGCCATTGCGGCGTCAAGTGTACTTTCTTCATACTTCTTCATATTGTCGCGCATCAGTCAAGTTAGCAAAACGTCATGCTTACCCCCAATTACTTCGCACGTGATATTGAAGGGCTCTTTGACGGTGGCTCACTTTCGGCTCTCCTCAAGGCCAGGTCCGCACTTTCGTCTGCAATGAATTCCAGGCAGAGGGTGCTGATGATGAGACCCGCCACGCACTGCACAAAGGTCAGGAGGCAAAAGCTCCAGAAGAGCATGTTGCCTTGAGCCGAAGCCCCTCAAAACTCCCTCCAGACGGGGGGTTCCCCGACAAGATGACATAATGTTCAAGGTTCATGTAGGACGTCAAAAGTTGAGGTTGCGCATTCCCCAAGTGAAAGTTGAAAAAAGCTGGTCTCCGGCCCAGGAAATCGAAGCTCAGCATCTTCTTTGACATTTATTTGTCGAGTCCCCAAAAGTTGAAAAGTAGCTTTTGGCCCGGGCAGTTGGCTGAAGCAATCAGCCCAGGCTGCTGCTAGATGCCAAGCATTTCACCAGCAACTGCAAAGACGCCAGCCTTGGTTGATGTGATCAGCTTGCAGGAAAAAACAAGCATGCTTGTCTTTTTGTGAAAGCATGTCAAATCAACATCTGCAAGTCAGGTGAAGAAATCCTTCAGCAACTTGGGGCAATGCGGCCAAGCAGCACACTCGTCATTGTGACCTGACGCCGTGGGCCAAAGCAGGTCCAAAACTGGCTTTTGCAACTGCTAAGACGCACACCCCTGAGGCGCCACCTTTGTACAGAGGAAAATGAAGGGCACAGGGCTAGCCTTTGGTCTGGCAACGGGGACCAGCCAGGTGACCAACCAACCAACGAATACAAGAAACCAACAAGAACGCGGGGTGGAAGAAAAAGGGTGGGGGGAGCCTTCAAGGAACTAACAAAAGCAGGGTTTCTCACATGTGTCCAACCTGAAAACATGAACCAACAGGAAGGCTCGCCAACCAAATTTGTCTCTCTCTACAAATTGATGATTAAACATGTTTCAACTGTTAAAGCCTCCTTCAAAGGAAATAGAGCTGCAACCCTGTGGCACTGGAAACAAATGCCGTAAAACAAAACGAACCAAGCCACCCACCAACCCACCCACCCACCCACCCTCCCCGTCCATGCACCGAAGCCAAATCCATCAAATCAAGGCAAACCAGGCCGACAACAAAAGAACTACAACCAAGCAAAACAAACAGCCCAATCAAAAAGACTCATTGCGAGACTAAGCCAACAACACAAAAGAACCACAACCGAGAAAAAAACATATAAAACACTTGTCCTTGCGAGATGGGAAGCTAACGGGGCCCCTCCGTCAGGGCTGACAAACCAAGCGAACCCCGCAAGCCACCGAAACCATCCGGCTCGAAACCATCCGGCTCGCTCAAGCGGCCATGCGGATGGCTCGCGCCAGCTTCCCGATCCGCAGCAGCCGAAAGAGCACCGGGTTCACCGGCAACGTGGCAGCGTAGAAGATGGTGACTTCGATGAGGGAGGTGGCCTCGAGCGGCACGCGGCACGAGTTACGTTTCGGCGCACGCCGCTTGCTGATGGCTTGCTTTCCCAAAGGTGGGCCCTATGGCCGTGCCAATGCAAACTACCGCCCAAAAACAAAGGGGGTCCTTTGGCTTCCCCATAGGGCAGGGAGGCACAATCAACGTGTGTGTGTGTGTGCGTCTGTGTGTCTGTGTCTCTGTGTGCGTGTGTGTGTGTGTGTCTCTGTGTGTTTGTTTGCGCGTGTCTGTGATTGCCTGTCTCTGTGTGTGTGCCTCTGTGTGTGTCTGTGTGTCTGTGTCTCTGTGTGCGTGTGTGTGTGTGTGTCTCTGTGTGCTTGTTTGCGCATGTCTGTGAGTGCCTGCCTCTGTGTGTGTGTGCCTCTGTGTGTGTGTGTGTGTCTGTGTGTCTGTGTGTCTGTGTGTCTGTGTGTCTGTGTCTCTGTGTGCCTCTGTGCCTCTGTGCCTCTGTGTGTGTGTGTGTCTGTGTGTCTGTGTGTCTGTGTGTCTGTGTGTCTGTGTGTCTGTGTGTCTGTGTGTCTGTGTGTCTGTGTGTCTGTGTGTCTGTGTGTCTGTGTGTCTGTGTGTCTGTGTGTCTGTGTGTCTGTGTGTCTGTGTGTCCAGTGTGTCTGTGTGTCTGTGTGTCTGTGTGTCTGTGTGTCTGTGTGTCTGTGTCTCTGTGTCTCTGTGTCTCTGTGTCTCTGTGTGCCTCTGTGTGTGTGCCTCTGTCTGTGTGTGTGTGTGTCTGTGTGTGTCTGTGTGTGTCTGTGTGTGTCTGTGTGTGTCTGTGTCTGTCTGTCTGTCTGTCTGTCTGTCTGTCTGTCGGTCTGTCTGTCTCTGTCTGTCTGTCTGTCTGTCTGTCTGTCTGTCTGTCTGTCTGTCTGTCTGTCTGTCTGTCGGTCTGTCTGTCTCTGTCTGTCTGTCTGTCTGTCTGTCTGTCTGTCTGTCTGTCTGTCTGTCTGTCTGTCTGTCTGTCTGTCTGTCTGTCTGTCTGTCTGTGTGCGTGCGTGCGTGTGTGCGTGTGCATGTGCGTGTGCGTGTCTCTGTGTCTGGGTGCGCGCGTGCGTGTGCGTGTGCGTGTGTGCGCGCGCGCTTGCGTGTGCATGTGTCTGTGTGCCTGTGTCAACTGCTGGCAGTTTCCGAGGCAATAGTTGCCTGATCTTTGCTTCCCTTTGGAATGAGCCAAGCCCAAAGCCGCCTGCCTGCGTGGATCAGACAGAAAAGTAACCAAACCTCTGTGCTATCCCTTCTCCCTTCTACCAGCGTTCTTTCCAAACAACGGCCATTTTCCCTGGGCGTACAAGGCTCTGAAAGAACAAAGAAGATATGCTAGACCTATGGCTGCCCTTTGAAGCAAAGGAAACAAAGAAACCCACACCCTGCATGATCTTCTTTTGGTATGGTTCTTCACCAGAAAGGTGTCCTCTCCGAGCGGGTTCAGACTTAAGCTCACCCCGCCATTTCAAGAGCATTTGGGGGGAGGGGGGGGGGAGCAAAAGTTGTACAACGCAACTTTGGGTGAGAGCTTAAAAGTATTTCAGAGTATTTGAGCTGGTCGGAGGGGTTCAACCATTTTAACCAAACCGATGGAGAAGCATCTGCGAGGCACCGTGACAGCTACGTCGACATAGTTCATCCAGACCTTCCAGAACCTGGACTGAAGAGGGTCAAGGGGCATTGACCCGCCGCTCACACAATAAATACAAATCACATGCAAAGCCATAGCAAGGGGGAATATGAATCGACACAATCATGCAGAAGGGTATGAATAGCAAGACAAGGTTGCTGAACATCCAAGACGCGCAAGCTTCAACATGAAAATTCTCAAGAAGACATCAAAGGCGAAAAGCGCGGTGAAGAAAATATCCCCGACCAGGAAGAAGGTGTTCCATCCGTTCCTTACACGCTCCTCCTCTCTCTCCAGCTCTTTCTGTCGCAAGTGTTGGCACCCTACAACGCCTAAGAATAGGTGGCGGGGCCACCTACCAGAATAGCCACCAGGGGTTTAAAGGGTTTGCAATCGCAGCCCAACCTGTTGAGCGGGTCCCTTGAAATACGGCCCAAAACAGTTTTCGGTTATTTCACAATGACCAAAGTCAGCCCTAAGTGGTAGGTTAGAGGGAAACTACTGTGTTTGAGTCAGAATCAAAACTCGGTATTAAACTGGTCTACCCAGAACCAGGTACAGAATTAATAAGGCGGATATCCGCAGCGATTTTTGGCAGGGATTGTTCCTTACTAACCTCCGTCTACCCGGGTTTTGAGTTTTGAGGCTCGTAAGACCAAAAAAAAACGGGAACAGCGAGCGAGTCTCATGTCCTCCTCGCTGACTCTGCTGGGGTAAACCCCCAAGCCGTAGCCCGTGATCGCGCCCTCGAACTGCAGCTCAAAAGCCATCCAGAACACGTTGATACCTTGGCTTGTCGTCAAAATACGATACCTCCAGGTTTTTTGTCGTCAAAATATGATACATCCCAAAATTGGTGCCTTCAGTTTCCTTTGGTTCGTTGATACCTTGGCTTTTTGTCGTCAAACCTCCAAGATGTGCTTCAGCTTCCTTTGGCTCCCCCTTTAAATCACCCAAAAAGGATACCCTTGGCATGCTTGTCGTCAACATATGATACCTCCAAAATTGCAATTTTGGTTCTGTGGTTCCCCCTTAAAATCGACTCGGGGGCGTCACCGTGGTAATTGTACCACCCCCTTCTCCCTTAAAGTTTCCTCTGGTTCCCCCCCGTAAAAAAAAAAAAAAAAAAAAAAAAAAATCACCCAAAGAGGGCGTCATCCATTGCACCCGCGGACCCAAACAGTGTGAGAGAAACTCCGGCCAATTGGTACTCTAGCTGAATAGAAAGCCCTGCGCAAGATCTTTCCGAGGATGTCTTCAAAAGGTGCGCAGTATGAGGCTTTGCGCAAGATGTTCCTGAAAGGAACTCTAAAACAGATCTGTGTCGAACTGACAATCTCTGGCTGCAAGAGCTCCATAAAGGTCAACGCTAAGTCCTGCAAGATCTATTGCTGGAAGATTATGCGCAACGAGACGATCCGTATGAAAGGTCTTTTAAAAAAGAGCTCTTGGCAGGAGGTCGATCACATTGCTTCGATGCCAAATATTTCTCTCCGTGCCATCCAGCGCAATGTGACTGCAGAGGGTGCGGGTTCGATGTTGAAAGTATACAGCGCGCCACGCGAGAGCAATCTGACACAAAGCCTGAAGAGGGTTCACTTCAAATGTTAAAAGTTTGCACAGTGTCAGCGAGATCCGACAGCCAAAGGCCGCAGTTTACATTCGATGCATGTTTGCACCGCTCCACAAGAGAACTCCGGCACACCAGAAGTCAGGGTGCGCTCTGCGGTTTGCGGCATTTGCACGGCACAGCGAGAGAGCACCTTCGAAACATGCGGCCACTTCTGCAAACCTGCGAAGTCGAAACTTGCACTTACGCGATTCTGGAAGCCTTAGAATTATCGTAAGAACCTTTCGGGACCCTTTTCTCATCCCAATTTGGATATAGTTTTCCATAATTCTCCGTTGGTTTCCCAAACCAAGCCAAAAAAGGGTCCTTGGACCCTCAAGCTACACGATTAGGCATGTTTCAGGGTAGACTCGTGCGTGTCTGTGACTTTTTGACCTGTGCATGGCTGGATTGAATTGATCCAAGGTGCACAAGCATAGCGCCATAATCATCTCGTAAGTGTTGGATTGCAAGAATTCCGAAAATATGTCCATGCGCGACATGGTCTTCAACCTCTCCTCCCGCTCCGAAGCCGTCTCTGCAGGCATATACCTTAGTTGGTCCCATGAAGGCGATGGGCAACCGCTTCCCTGTTAGGCCAAAAGAACCAGCCTTTAAAAACCTTGAAAACAGCTACTTAGTTAGGTTTGGTTACCTACAGTGGCTTACCCTTGATCTGGGATCAAGATACGTGGTATTGCTCTTCCTGATCATCTTCCGGAGATCGGACTCCTTGAACAGGAGCTCAACTTCCCCTCAGCTTTGCTGGACCCCCCCCCGACGAGCAAAAGGCCGACGAAGAACCTCTTGTCGCGAAAAATGTTGATGTTGTTAAAGGGAAAACCACCATTTTAGGGGGCCCCTAAAAACGACCCACCATTTTGTTTCCAAAAAGTCATATGTTGGAATTTCAAGGGAAACGACATTCAGAGACACCGCCTCTTGATTGATGGTTTTAAAGGGAAGCCCAAAGGACGCCCCTATGTCCAGCTGCCCTCTGATTTGTATTTGTTGGATTGGTGATTTGGTGGTTCAGGCTATTACCTCTACAAGAACCAGGGGTTGACTCCCACCAATCCAAACCAATTGAGGGCAACCTGAAACTTGGGATCGAAGCAACAACAGGGATCCGGATGCAACACCTGAACATTGCAACTTGTAAATGGTGGGTTCCCTTTATTTTGGTGGAAAACGCCATGTTTCAATTGGGCAAAATGTATCTTTTAAGGAGCCCTGAACAACCACTCTTACTTGCACGCTTGCAGAAAATTAATTCGCTTCGCGGGATACGGGGCGTGGTGTAGAAGCATCGCGTTTGCACGGATTCCAACATAAAATCTAACAACCCCTTCCTGTCGGGCATCCGAGCCCGAGACCAAGCCGCCTGACTTGTCCATGGCCTCGATGATCTCCTCCGCGTGCATCTCCCGCAGGTTGCCGTGCTGCCTCAGTGACGGAGCTGAGGCATGGATTCACCCTCCCAGAGAGTCCCTTGGTTCCCTTTAAGGAGGTGGACCCCTTTCTCTCCCCCAAAAGTCATCCTCATGAGGTACTTGGACCCTCTGGGCCTAAGGGCGATCGATTTTTCTATTGGAGGGTCCAGACCCTTAGGGCAGGCCCAAATGGGTTTGTGCTTTTTTGTGAGTCGGTCTTGGTTTTGGGTGGCTCAAAAGGGAAAGCAAAGGAAAAGTAAATCTTTTTGGGGCTTCCCTACTTTGTCACATAACATTTGTTGGGGAGGGGGGGTGTTGGCAGCCCTAGGATATACCCCGTTCTGGTGGCTTATCCCCACCTCTTGAGAAAGACAACATAGCCCTTTGGTGGTTGAGCTCAAACCAGATTCCCAGGAAAGTTGTTAGAGCATTGGTTTCATCTGGGTGGGGTCTGCCACATCCCGCAATTGTCTTCGCGCAACCTGGGAGCAACTGTAGCTACCGGCTAAGTGACTTGCTAAATGGAAAGCCACCATTTGGGGTCCTCTGTTTTAAGACACATCCATTTTGAGAGCCCCTCAAAATTCTCACTTTGAGGAACGGTATCTCTCGTTAAAGGTGGCTTTCTCTAGGAATCCACGGCGAAATAGCGGCAAGCTCACTCCAAAATCACTTTATGCGACTCCTTGCAACCCGATTGCTTTGCGATGGCCGCCGAAAGCGTTGGAACCTTCCTGGAGGCAGCGCTTGCGTGGCTGGCACCGCTGCGCCGGCTGGACTCGTCCGTGGGCACTTCCGTCACGGGGGAGCGCAGATGATCCTGCCCCCGACTCCAAATACCCGGCCTTTTTTCAGGGTATCCAGTCGACCCTCTACTAAGCAAGGAGGTATTTACTCTGGAAAACCAGGCTTCCCCAAAAAAACAACTGAAAAAAACGGGCATTTTGAGTAGGGGGTACCCGATGAGCATCAACTCAGCGGACACCCCGATTCATCCGCGCTGACTTTTGAGCCCCATGAAGCCATGCGGGGAGCGTGTGGAAACACATTGAGCATGGGACATTGCCCCCCAGTTCTGGGGTGATTGCAGGGCATTTGGCTGTGGTAAATCCATTGTTTACGAGGCTCAAGGTCGACAAATCTGGGCCAAGCTTCGTTCTGCGTGCGAAGCAAATCCACCTCCGTTTCCATGGCATTCTTCTCAGTCAGCAGCCGCAGAATCTCGGACCTCATCCTCGGATGCCGCGCAAAGCGCCCGGCAGATCTTCGAGCCCAAGGAAAAATAAAATAAAAGGACCTGCCCAAAAACTGTCGCAGTGCATGGGAAGGAGCGATTCGCAACTCCCGATCCAGGGACCCCAAAAGTGTTAAGAGGGGGGTCCTTGTATTTTTTCCAAAGGAATCCTTCATTTCGGAGCGCAAGGGCAAAACCTGATCAGTGCTTGCGCTGGCGGCACGTGAGCTGCGCTCAAAGCCCGAGCTGACTTTTGGCTTTGTATCATCCCCATGAAGCCAGGTCAACCATCCATCAAACTCAGCGAGTTGAGGTTTTGGGCACGGCTCAAGTGGGGTGATTCTGACAAGTGACAATGTTGGTGCACATCTTGTTTTGCATCTGGATGGATGTCCACGCATTTGAGTTGAGGGGCTTCTGCCAAACCCCTAAACAACACGAGGGCGCAAGCTTCTGAACCAAGTATCTCGGAGGTCTCCCGCGCGTATTGCAAGCGAATCTGCAGCAGCAAGAATTCAAAGTTCTTGGAAGGGGCGTTGAGAAAGTCGCAGGGCATCTGAGGTGGTAGAGGCACAAGGGCGACATCAGCGTCGCCTGGATCATGGGGCCTGATCGCCTTGGATTTAAGCCAAACTTTGAGTGAGATGCTGTGGATGGACGAAATCCGGCACCACCTAAGAAACCATGAGAAACCATTGTTTGTTGTGTTTACACAGGCGAGGCATCATTCCAGAGTTTCTGAGCGGTGGTGCTTTCGAAATGGATTTCGTCCATCCACCGTCTGTCAGAAATCCCGCCAAGTCAAGTCTAAGGCAGCCAGCAGTCAAGTCGACTAAGGCTGGCTGGAAGGCTGGCTGAAAACCGCCAAGCAGTCAATCTTTCCTTCCGCCAAGTCGCCTGGATAGATCCCAGACTTTCGAAGCCGGACATTGCCATTCAGAAGAAGCCCCTTGAGCCTGGCTTTGACTTAAAAATCCGTGGCCCCATCCCTGGAATCTGGTCTCCTTAACCTTCCCCACGCCCACCCAATGCGTTTGAGGTATCATGCTAACCCCTGACTCCTGACTAATCACTGAGGTATTTGCCAAATATACCTTGAAAAGAGGTATTTGGAGCAAAGGCTTGGGGAGCACACTACGAATAGGGGTCCCAGCTCCAAATGCGTGCCAGAGAACAAACACGGGGCCATCCCTGATTTCTCCCAACATACTCCATGTGGGTAACATTGATACCAACAACTGGCCCGTTGAAGGGTACATCTAAAAAAAATACCTACATGTTTTTTCCTTAGGTATTCCTCCTTCAAACAAATCATGAAGAACACTTAAGCTATCGGCCGCAAGTCAAGCTGAGAGGGGGGGAACTTGGCGCAACCCCTGGGTATCTGTTTTACCGTCGCCACAAGGGCACCCCATGTGTAAGTCTGCAGTAAGTCAATTCACCTTCCCTCGGTCTGCACTGGCGGTTCGGGTGGTTACCCATTTACCCTCAAATCCAAAGCACATGAGGCTTACCTGATCAACGGAACCCGGTCGGGTTCCCAAATTCCGCGAAGCAAAGCGTGCGACCCGTTCTTTTCTCGCTCAGCGCTGCTTCAGCATGGTCTCAAGGAAGCTGATGACACCCAGGCTCTCTGCCACCGCCATGGCCTTAAATCAAAACCCGACGAAGAGCCCGTCGTTTTTTGCTGGAATCCTGTCGTCTTCAGTAGTTTTTGGGTGGACAACGCCCATACTTCTGCTTTACCAACAAAAATGGTGCTTGGGTAGATGTTGGGTGGACAACAACAACGTTCATGCTTCTGCTTTGCCACCAAACATGGTCTTCTCAAAGAGTCGTGATGCCCCTTACAGTAGGCCAACATCTGGGCCTTGCAGGAAATCACAGGAATATCCGAGAGACCTTCAGCTTGGGAGTCCGTCTTGGTCAATCCCCTCAGCTGGAAATAATCGGCAAAGATCCCTAAAGGATTTTCATATTGCCTGCGGTTCTTGGCACGCATGGGATACCGTCGGAATCCCGACAGGCCTTCAGAATCGCTTCCATCTTTTTCAACATGCTGAACTGGCGACCTTTTTGGAATCCTCCAGGGGGTATCTTTCTTTTCCCCCTTTGTTGGTTTTTAGGGGAAGCCAACCTTCCACCCGGCAATTTCCCATGCAACCAACAGCCCATACAAAAATATATATATATATATATATAATTTGGCAACCCATATTTGCAGTGCTTGGGATTCAGGCCAGCTTGGGGCCCCATTTTTGGGACTTCAACCCCAATGCCCCTGGCCCCTGGCCCATGCCTCGATCCCCAGCTCCTCGCAGATCTGGTGCCGCAACTCCTCCTGACGAGGTCAAAAACTGAGCAGTGGGGGTAATCTCGGTTGCGACCTCTGCTCCCCTGCTAAAAGTGTTCAACTTGTGGTTTCATGCGGAAAACCCATGAGTTGGCAAAAAGCCAAAGTCCGAACATCCAAGCAAAATGCACCTCTGCAATGCTGTCCCATGTTAGGTTGCAACTGGGAGCCAATGGTTCCACTCATGTTTCGAGGTGTCTATTTTGGAGTTGCCGTTAGGGGGTCGAAACCATGGTTGAAAGAAACCATCACCTTTGCTGGGGGACTCAAAATATTCCGTTGGGTTTCTGAACGGTGGTGCGAAATGGATTTCGCAACCATCCACAGCATGGGTGTGTCTTTTTGAAGAGTCCCTTTTTAAAACCAACACTTGAAGGGGTACCGCTTAAAGTAAGACAGACCCACATGTGATATTGATTCAGCAGTTTCTGGGTGCCAAGTATGGACGAGAGCTATGAGCATGCATGTGAAAGGGAGACCCTGAAAAAGGGATTTCGGTGTTCCTTTTGGCTTCCCTTAAACCAATTTGGAAAGGGTACCGAGCCGCAACCACACCCGTGTGGGGCATGTTGTCATAAATCCCAACTGTTACATTGGCAGAAAACCTCCAGAAATCAACTTTCCATCTTTGGTCGTTGCTTTCTTGAGGTTTTTCAGGTAATTACCAGGTTGGCTACCTGGGTTCTACTTGGGCTCCATATGGGTTTCTCTCAAACCAACCTTCTTCAAAAGTCTTGACTGGACAAAAAATAAAGACGACATATATAAAATCGTGTACACTGGGAGAAAAAGAAAACAAACCGACCCTCCCATATTTTTCTCCTACGCCCCTCCCCCCTCCCACCGGCTGGCACTGCGAGGCACCGCCGGCGCTTCGCGTCGGCGCGTCTGCGCCTCGGAGAGGACGGGCACGGAGGCCTCCTCGTCGCTGGGGGCCTCGAAGTCCGGCTCCTCGAGCCGCGCGAGTCTTCGACGCGGAGGAGCGCCCCGAGCCAACAGCTGGGCCCAGCGAAGTTGGCCCCAACTTTGGCAGGGAAGTGGCCGCCGTTGCTTCGGGTCGCCCAGAGAAACGTTCAAAAAACACGGGAAGAAACAAACAACACCCCCCAAACAAAGAAAAAAACAAGACCGACCTGGATCGCCAAGCTGCGGCTTGCTTTTTCCAGACACTTTAACCACTTTGACCTACGGACCGTAGAACAGCCACTGTTGCTGGAAAAATACACACAAACAAAGATGAAGACAGTGCATAGCAAGCATGGAGCTGTGAAACGACATCCTTCTGACCACCCCTTCTGAAAAGATAAACAGACCTACCCTCCGCAAACAGACACACCCACCCGCTTCCAGTTGCTTTTTCGCCTGGAAAAAGATGAGAAGACATGAGAAGAAAATGTCCATAGTGAAGTCGATTCCCTTGAAAACCAGAGAAACATAGCATATCCATTCAGCAAATGGAAGTAAAATGGTGAGACTCGAAAGCCCGCAGATTGTTATTCTTGTCACAGCCGGATTTGTGCGAATGAAAGTGAAGGAAGTTGGAACCCATTTTGTGGTTGGGGGGCGTTGGTTTGCTAGCCATGATTTGCCATGCTGTGGTTGGTGAACTTGCAATATTTCGGGCATCCGTACCCATGAATCCCTTGAGGCCCCTCCAAACAGGGCACCCCCACAAACAAATGTGCCTAACGAAGTATTTTGTCGCATTGCTGTCCCCGTTTTTCGGGGCCTCGAGTAACTTCTGAATCAACAAACAGAGGCTCCCTGAGGAAATGGTCCAAACCCAGGGGGTCAAGTTGTTCATGGCCCTTTGGGTTGCACAAGGGATGCATGTTGGCCATCTTGAATGTCACATATCACGGGTATGATATCGTAGTGGCCCCCAAGAATATAGTACGACGTGGGAGAAGGCATCAGATTAAGGGATTAATTTTGATTGATTGGATTGTGGCCGTCTTTTACATGGGGGTAGTGGAAATCATCATGGATGAATGGGGGGGTATGCGTTAAATCATATGTACCAGGGGTGAATGTATACCGTTGATTCATGGCCCAAAAGCACAATGGGTACATACAGGGTATTGTATGTTAGCCAAGACTTTGGGAAGCCCGCCTCCCCCCCAGAGTGTCATCCTTCCACTGTAGCTGTGCTCTCTAGGCGTGCGGCGTAGGAAGCTTCACTGGCGCTCGCTTCTTCGAAGTCATCGCAGTATTCGCTTTCCACGCTCTCGTCCTTTCCAAGACGCGGATCGCAGTCTTGGTTGCTGCTGAACCCCCTGCAAAAAGTTTGAGTTTTTGGGGGTTTGGACAACCCCTTGGATCAACCAAAAAGTTAAAGTCTAAAGATCCAACCAAATAGCAATCAAGCAGTTATCAGTCAAACCTGGCTCTTCCAGGATTGAACAGACTACACTTGCACCCTATGTCGACTCCGGGGTAATCAAGCTAGCGGAACGCAAGGATGGATGGTCCCCCCTCCGATAAAAAACAAAAAAAAATGGAAGTCTGAACCGGAACACCCCGCCTATTCATCGACCAGGGGTTTATCCTGGGTTCCTATTGATTGTCAACCTCGGATTTCTGAGGACCCTAGAGTCTTAGAGGATCCCATTTTGTTTGGCACCTCTGCGTATTTCGAAGCTGACATTGAGATTGCAAGAGATAGAACTCCTTGCGGCCTGCAGCTTACACTCATGCCCCCGCGAACCTTCCGTCAAGAAGACAAACAACCGCCGCCTCAGGAATCTCAAAGTCATCCGCGTACTCCTCCTGCGCAAGCAGTGAAATGGGTGCTTCTCAAAAAGGGAATCGGTCCCCTAAAATGGGCTTCTAACTATACCAACGAAGAGGGGGTCCACCAGTTTGCGCAACACTCAAATGGCCATTGCACTCGACTGCGGGACGGAAACAAATCCAACTGGCGTGAGGTTGGAAGCGCTTGCCGCAGCTTGCTTTCGCCTGAACCATCCAAAAGGGGTCCGAAGGCGCCGCAAAGGACCCCCAAAGTTGTGCTGCTTGTGGTTTCCCTTGAACACCAACCCAAAAAGGCTCTCGAAAACACAAACACAGAGACACACACAGAGACACACATGCTCCCTGTCTCATCCCTCCGCCCGCCTCAACACCCATGGTGTGCCGGAATCTTTGGACAAAGCCCCTTGAGCGTTCGTCCATCTGGGCGGTCGCTGGATGCCATGTGCTTAAGTCCACTAACAAATATGTCCAGCAGTGATAGATGTTCTTTAAAACCAGCAGGGGACAATAAAACATATTCTTAAGCAAATTGAAGTCGAAAGTGGGAGTATTGCCTCATAAGTGTTGGGACAATATCATACAATATCCCATTGTTGAGGGTAGTTTGAGGGTCCAGGATCATGTTTGAGGAATCTTTGGTTGAGTATGGACGGGTTCAAAATCAATGCCACAGAGTGAATGGAGGATGCGAATGGGAAGCCGAATCCGACTTCGGCCGACTCCAACAAAGAATGCTGCATTGCGGAGAACACCCCCAAAAGTGGCAATCGTCAAGGGCGGATTCAACGAGCTTTGGAGGTGTCGAGGGTATGTAGAAAGCAAGGGGTATGTGGTATCCAAGCATCCCACCTGTTTGGGTTCAGTTTGGCCTCCCGTGAGACGGGGCGTCCCATCCAAAGGAAGATGCCAACCATGTTGTGGTGAACATGTTGTGAAATCCCTAAGGGTATAGGTCTTTCGGGTTCCCTCAAGATCTGGTTGTAGGGCCTGGACCACGCCCTTGGAAATTCCATGAACATGTAGAAACGTGATCCCTGTCCTGCACCTCTTGAAATGGACTTGACTAAACCCTGATTGAGAAAAAAACAACTTTAAGTTCGTGTCAATGGATTTCGCCTTCGCCTAGCACGTCCTGTGTCTGTTTTCAGGGGACCAGAGCGTCCTCCAATCTGATGTTCTTGCGACCCTTGCGACCCGAAATTGATGGAAAGCCGTCGCTAGGGGTAGGCAGGTCGCGTGCGGATAAGCCCTGAATTAGTTGGTTTTTGTTATGTCTGTCTGAAAAAACTGCTGAAGTCTGAAGATGCGTCGTTTTTGACGACAACTTTCTGTGGGGCAGCTACATCATCTGGCTTAACAAATCATGATCCAGAGCGAACATGCTACTGCGCAGGTGCAAAGACGCAACACACCCAGTTCAGCCTGCGACTTGTACATCCCCCCAAAGAAGACCAGGCGGTGTCCTCTTGGGTTTCCTTTAAAACCCTCAATGCACACACGGACTCTCCAACCCGAAAAAATGAGCGATGGCCCAAACACCATGTGGTGATTGCCGGTGGTTGAGGGTCTGAGGGTCCAGGTTCCCTCACCCGCATCGCCAAGTTGCTGCCTTTTGCCAGACACCAAAATACACCAAATACCCTAGAAACAGCCAGAGTCGCTGGAAAAAAGCGATTCGCAACTGCATCCAGGTACCCTCAAGAAGCACAAACACCAACATGTTTGCCCCCAATGCCAAAAGTCTATGTTAGCTTGGTGGTTCCCAACTGGCGATCTCAGCACCTCCCCGTATCTTTTCCTCCGGAAATTTGGGGGACGCAACGTCCCGCCTCCGGCGGCGGCAGGAGCTGCTGCACTGCCGAAGCCAAGGGCGCGGAGCCCAAGGCGCGCTGCAAGGAGCAGCGGTGCCAAGGCTCCTGACGTCCGGTTCGAAGCGGTTCGAAGCGGTTCGAGCCTTACGCTCCAAGCAATTCTCACCGGCTCAGTGGATGGCCCAAAAAAAGTCCAAACTTTTTGTCTACCACTAAAATGGTCTTTCCAAAAAGTTTCAAGCGCATGAACTCAGGAAGTGAGAATTAACATGGAACCTGACAGGGGGGTTCTGGAAGACCCTTTGCCTTTGAAAGGCTGAACTGGGCTGGGTTGAATGGAAACCCAAACCACTAAACCAACTGAAAACCTGAAAAGCTAAGGAACCGGAGGCTGGGAACCACCAAGCTACCATAGACTGTGGGCATTGGGGGCAAACATGTTGGTGTTTGTGCATTTTAAGGGTACCTGGATGCAGTTGCGAATCGATTTTTTCCAGCGACTGTGACTCTTCTTTTTGTATGTGGTGTCTGTGGAAAAAGTGCATCCGCGACTTGGCGATCCAGGCACTCCCCTTTGCGAGAGAACACGGGCGGAAAAAGTTGGTATGGTTGTGAAAGGGATTCGGACCCCGAACATGTTTCCTTTCATGGTCGCTTAACCCGGGAAATTTAGACCCCGCCCGTACCCTCCTCATTCTGTTCGGGCAAAACAAACGGGCCATTGCGTCGGTTTCTGAAGAGGGGTCACTCAGTTGCCGCAAAGGACTGGGAAATAAAGAGTCAGCCTTTTGGACCTGGACGAAGAATGGGCCAAAAGGGAAAACCAAAAGGTCAGATCTTTGGGCAAGGCTGGAGAATGGACAAGGAATCAAAGTTTAATTTAGATAAACAGACCAAGCAAGGCAACCGGACGCCACCATTGGGGCCGGGATCCATCAGGAAATTGCTTGCAGCCTTTTCCAAAGTTTTTACCCCAAATCAGCATTTCGAATGGGAACTTGAAAGGGACAGCTCCCTTTTGTCAGATCTTTTCTTGTGTTCTTCGCATGATTCCTATTTTGTTGAGGAACCCTCACTCACAGGTTGACCTGGAAACCTGGAAACCAAGCCCCAAAGGTGTTTGGAAACCCACCCCACGCCCCACGCCCATGGAAAACCATGCCTTGGCGAGGAACGATGCCACCAGTTGCTGTAGCTCCTCGGAGTAGTCCTCCAGCGGCAAGGGCGTGGAGCTCACGATGCGGAAGGCCACCTCGACACCGCGAGATCTCTCCAGCGGTCGCCAGCAGTCGCGCTCGAGTGGTCGGTGTCGGTAACGGCACCGCGAAAGCGTGCGAGAAAACAATCAAAAAAAAACACAACGACGCTGGAGGGGCGACCGCACGCGAGAGTTTCGAGTGGATTTGTCCATGGGCAAACAAAGAATTGGCAGCCTTTGAGTCTGAAGAAGCAGACCGCATGGGACCGGGTGGGGATACGGACCTTGCAAAAGGTCCTAAAAAAACAAGGGCCACAGAGTCGAAAAGGTGGTTTCCAGAAACCATTACCCTCGAGCTACTGGGAACCATGCCGGGATATATTCCCTTTCAGTGGAGGTGCGTTAGAACCCCCCCCCCCCCCACAAAACCAAAAAACACAGAAACACAACAGGCACCAGTTTCATGGAGATGGTGCCAGTTCGGGGCCTGAGGGGCGTAGAAGCCCGGTTTGTGGAAGGGCCCGGCAGGGGCTGGGTGGCCTGAAGCAGGTTGGGCTCAACCATATACTCAAGGAAACCACAAGACAGATTCATATCTTAAAGGGAGCCATCACCTCAAGATAGATACATTAAGAGCAGGCTTTCAAACAGTTTGGTGGATAACATCATGGTTTGCACAACTCTTCCAGTCCTGGCTGCAAAGCGAAGCCGGCGTTTTGGCTGATTCAAACGGGAAACCCGAGGAACACCACCCCAAAGGAAAAGCCATGGGGGTTTAAGCCATGGTTTATACACGGCTTCCGCCTGATGAGTGTTGCCATCCATATTTCACACGACCATGGGTTTGTCAGTTTGCTGGTGCACAAATATAAACCAGGGATTGTTCCAAGAGTTTGGTGGTTTAAACTCCCACCGTCAATATGCATGTTTAAGCAAGTGTCCACCAGGGTATGCAGGCGACAAATACAGACACTATACACATGAGTCATGGCAACCATGCCGTTCCCCCGTTTTGAGGCCAACTGACCGCCACCCAACAAAAATGGGTTTCGCCCGTCCAATCGCCTGGCAAATGTTGGTGCCGCGAAAGGGTGGCACCAACATGGCCATCTCGTAGATGGTCACGCCCAAGCTCCAGACATCAGAGGCATAAGAGTACCTCGAAGGAAACCCAACACCGGTTTTCTGGTGCCTTTGAGCGGATGGAATGAGAAATAGAATGAGAATTGGAATGACCCCAAGAATAAAAAACAAAATCAAAGTGGTGGTTGACTTTGAGCGGACCCCAGGTTCATTCCCACATTCCCTATCGAGCGCCAGCAAGTTTGTTCAACCAGTTGCTTGGACCACCACCCCCAGCACCATGGGGTTTGCTGGACCCTTTCGGTGGATTTCTGAGATTGACTTCTCCGTCGTTTATAGGCTTTACTGTAAGCCCAAGAAAAAAACGGCAGGAACCGAGCCACCGGCCAATTGTCTAGGTACCCCTTGGCATACCCGGTACATGATTGCGATTCTTGATGTTCATACCATATCCTCTCCCCTAAAACAGGCATACACCCCTATGGCGTGTTGGCAACCAGGCAAGGGGTAGGAACAAGGTATATTTGCCTCCACACGTCAAAACCGGTGTTTTGATACTATGAAGGGGCTCACCCCATCCAAGGAAACCGAAGCATCCCCTTGGAGGGGCCGAGCTTCAGTCAAAGTCGAAGCCAGCTGTTAGTACCAAGATGGTCTTTAGTTGTTCTAGGTCTCACTGTAACCCACAGGCAGAAATTCCTAGATTGGCCAATGTGGATGCGCGAAGTCCATCCCCCTAGGTGGTTTATCCCATTTATTCCAGTATTCAAATCTGGGTTCATGCATTTCAACAGGTGACAGGCGTTGGATTGAACCCAATTTGAATACTGGGATAAAGCGCCTACCAACTGGTGCCTGGTGTGCATGCTGTGTATCCACAGGACTCGGTCAAATGGGTTTCTCAAATAGACGGCCAAGAAAAGGCTCTGCCCTTGAAAAAAGCTCTCGGCCGAGCTGCGGCTCTTGGTTCACGATCTCCGGGCTTAGGTAGAGCGGCGACCCACAACAGGTCTTGGCGAGGTGGTGCCTGAAAGGGGCGGACACCGCCAAGGGAGAAGTGCCGTTGTTGCTTCGAAAGGAAACAAACTTTTTGGTTTGAAAGGAGGTTTTGTTTAAGGCTTGAGTCTTGAGGTGCTTTTGCTGGGCGTGTTTCATCCCCCCCCCCCAAAAAAAAAAACACAAAAAACTCGACAAAGCCACATGTGTGTGCGCTTCCCATTGAAAAGGCCTTCGCCGAGGAACAAACTAGTACTCCATTCCCTGGACTGTCCTCAGATCCACTTCTAGAAGAACTTTTAGACCACTACGCCCTAAAAACCTAAAAACCTAAAGGGGACGGCTGGGAACTGCCAAGTTCCTAGCAGTCCGGCAGAACAAACTCCCCTTTCATTACACTCTGGATCTGATTTTGTTGAAACCCGTCAAGGAATTCTCCGGGAAACCTGCAGGGCGCCAAACCACGGATTAGCGACAACCAGTTGTGTTTCCCTTTGGTTCCCCTTTTACAGAATGCCAAAAGAGGTAGCCTCTCACAAAACAATGTGCCGTTGTTTACAAATGGCCTCCCACAAAAATAACCCAAGAAATACTTTTGAAACAACATAAACAACCATGGAACCCCGGACATGTATTTCCTGCCAGCAAAGCACTTGTCTTTCTGGTCTTTTCAAACTGGCGAGTTGGCCAAGTTGGCTTTCATGAACCCTATTTGGCAACAGCAAGTCTTCTTGACCCGGAAGGGATTAAGGATTGCCTTTGAGCACCCCCAATTAAAAGGGCCTTTCTCAAGTGGCCTTTGGTTTCCCGAGCAAATTCATGTAAACCGCGAGGAAGGAGGTAGCGAGGCTGGGACGATCGAGCTACGGGATTTGGCAAACAAACTTCGAGCATTGTCACCTGCCACTGGCCCTTTGGACCTGCTAATCCAAAGGTTACCATCCCCCTGCCAATAACGTAGCAACTGTCGAAGAAAAAACTCCTGTTGAAGGGACCCCCTGTCAGGTGTGTTAGTCAAAGAGAGGGTAAACTTCTGCCGTGAAAAATGAACTACGATCAACCCAACAGATTCAAAGCACCAAAGCCAACCCATAAAGCAAAGACCCCAGCGCTCGGGGAAAAACAAGACTGAAGTGAGCAGCGCCCAAGACTCGGGCTGACTTTTGAGGTTCTGAAGGTCCAGGCCTCTATAACCTGGCTGTCCTCAGACCCTCCCCCCCACTGAACCAACTAAAAGATTCCAAAAGCTGAGGAACCGGATAGCTGGGAACCACCACTAGCAAATTGTATGAACCCAGGTACCTACCAAAACGCGGGGCCCAATTGGAACATGTTTGTTTTTCGCTCCTTGGATCCAAGGGGCTCATCCAAGGTGCAGGAGATGCCGAAATCGCCCAAGAGCAGGTCCCCACCTCTCCGAATCACAGCCCAAGGCTTAAGCATCCCCCCGGCGGGCCGACCCAAACTGGTCCAATGGTAGCCTGGGCCAATGGACCAAGCCTCAAAGTTGACATCCATTTGGTCTGAGAGGCTCGGTATGGCTCGGTTGTGACCGAGCCTAACTTCGAAACGTGGGTGCGAGCGAAATCTGGATCCCGGGGAGCTGGTTCCCTGGTAAAATGGGACACCCCCGGATTGAATCAACCAGAATTTCTCACAGAAATCAGAGGTACCCCCCGTCTACCAACCCATACCTGGTTCCATTTTTGAAGGTGTGATTCCTACAACCACCAGGACTGAGTCTAACTTCATTCATCCCACAGGAGGGAAGTATCGTAATCAGACGACAAAACATACGTGTAGCCTTCCGCCCCATAGCCCTATCAGCTTCCATCGGCAAAAGATCGCTCCCCCAAACTAACATGGAGCTCCCAGGACCCCCTTTGAAAGACTTGGTTCCATTTGCAGAGGCCAATTGGGGAGCGTCCTGCTGTTGGTCTCAGGCAGTGTACCCCTTCTCGCCGAACTCCTACGGGTTCCGAACTCCGAACTCCGAGGAGTTGGATCGATCCTGCGCAGCGGAAGAAGCAGTTCTCAGGCTTCACGTCCCGGTGCAGCACCCCGCGGCCGTGGCAGTGCTGCAAGGCCATGCCCATCTGCGCCGCCCACCTCGGCGTGGAAGGTGGAGGCACAGGGCACCCCAAAAACCGGAAGGATATGAACATCACCCCACTGCCACCACTGATTTTTTGGAGAGCGCATAAGCAGTTGGGGAGTGCTGGTGGGTTCTTGTGCTTTGTTATCATGCTTCTGCTCTGTGCGTAACGGTTTGCCCAAGTTCCCCAACAAAGCTTGAACTGAAAGGCCGTCCAAATGACGACTTCTCTCCTTTTAAAAGGAGGCTCTCTGGTATCCAAACCAAGCCTTCATTCCTGCAACCCTGTCTACCAACAATTTCTGCCACCAACCCTGCAGCACATCTGCGTCTCAGCGGCCGGAGCACTTGCTCTTCCGGAAACTTCCGGCCCTGCAATGTGAACAGATCACTCGGCTCGGTGATCCCTTGCGCCAAAAGCTAGACCTTTGATGGGATATGTAAGTGTCTTTTTTGGAGGACCCCTCTAAAATGGTGGATGTCCTTTTGGTTTCCCTTTAAACCACCCCAACCCAACCAAAAAAAGCGGGTACAAGTCACACAAGACGGACCCATGTCATAAATGGGTGGTTCGAAGAATCGTTGACTTCCACTCCAAAGGGGGCATCCTGCTACAAAATCAAACTCGGATCGCGCCACTTGGGAAGGATGAACCCCGATTTTACGGGTACCACGGTACCAAAGCGGACGGAAGAAAGGTCGGCGTCCGTAAAAAATCAGCCAAACACGAAACAAGGGTAAACCAATCTGGGCAATTAGTTCACCAGCGGGCAACCAGAAATGGACCCCCCAAGAAAGGAAACCTCGCTTCGTCGCAAGTTCCCGCCTGCCACGGCTATAATTTGCCCAGAAAGGGACTTTCACCAGTTTTCGCTCTACTGATAGAGTTCTGGTGATTATTTTTTGAAGGTACACTTTGTTGCGGTTTTAAAGGGAAACCGAAAGGAAAACCATCCGTTCGTGCGGGCCCATGGTCCCCTTATAAACCTTGTCCTTGAACAAATGAAACAAACGTGCTGTGGCCCTATAGTCGCTATCGGCTTTGTGTCCTCTTTACAGTCAAGGTCCACAAAAGCTTTGACCTTGTATTCCAGGTCGTTTGGGCAAGTGAGGGCTGCATTTGGGGCTCTCATAACTGGGCTGTCCTCAGATCCCCGCTAAAAGTTTCACTTTAAGTGGGTTCAATGGAAATCCCCACTAAACACTAAAAGGCTAAAAAGCTAAGGAACCGGATGGCTGGGAACCACCAAGATACATAGTTTGAATCAGCCCCAAACAGGGATCTGCCTTTGCTTTTGGGAAGCCGTTCCCAACCAGGCAAACTTGTCTGCGTTGGAAGGTCCTTTATGGGAACCCCTAGGTTCATGCCCAACACCATCAAGCTTTTTGCGGGGTGTGCCCTTCAACATGGACCAAAAGGGGAAAACCAACAGGTACCCAATATGAATCGAACTGAAGCTGACCTTTTGTGAGTTCAATGGAACACCCCTTGATTTCCCAATAAGTTAAAGCCTAAAGATCCAAGCCAAGCTTAATGGGTCAAAATGACTATCACAGGTTTTAGTCCATGTTTCCATTTCCCAACCCATTTTGGGTACCTATGTTTGACCCACAGCCATTTAAAAATTTGGCTGCGGCTCAACAAACCAGTACCAAACTGGAACCCTGGTAAGTGGAAACATGGACCAAAACCTGCGTAACCCCTCCTGTTTCATTTTGAGCCACACCCATTTGGGTTCCTTCAAGAACGCATTCAACTTGAACCTCCAGAGTCAGCCCCAACCGCCGAGAGCCCTTTCCCCTCCTCTTCCTCCCGCTGGTACCGGATGGCGCCCCGCAGGTCCCCTCCAGAGCAGAACCTCGCAGTTCCCAACAGCCGACCGCGTTGAACCACCCGAGGGGTGCGCTTCCAACATGGAAATCAAAGAGTTAGATGGCCACGGGTCACAATCCCGTACCCCCAGTGAACCTCCCAATCCCCACTAAAATGGGTGGTGAATTCACATACCCCAAAATGGGATCTGGTTTTGACCCACAGCCAAACGGGTGGCTCCTCTTCTGTTACAGGTAGCCATGTTTTTTGCTGTTTTTACCCGGGGAATGACCAGGAAAACCACCAATTTTGTGGGGCCCCCCCAACAAAGCACACCCATTTGCGTATGTGTTAAAATACCCAACATGGCTCCTTCAAAGGCATAAATACAATCAAGAGCGACTGTTACAAATCAACAAACACCTCCGCTAGGTCCTCCAGTAGAGAGGTTAGAATAAGGGTACCAACTTTTTTCTGTCGTCTATTTGAGTAGGGGCACCCTCCCAACCGAAAAGAAACGGTAAAAGGGCACCTAGCTGGGGGACCTAGTCCGGAACTAAACCAAAACAAGACCACATCCCATCAGCTTCAAGTTCAAGATGGCCTCAGGGTGCCTTCCCAGTCGGTGAATGGGTCAAAAGCCCGTACCCCCAGTGAACATCCCAATCCCCACTAAAATAGGTTCAAAAATAGTGGTGAATTCACCTACCCCAAAATGGGATCCTGTTGGTTTTGACCCACAGCCAAATTGGAAAGGGCCGGGGTCGAGCCCGGATGGGTGACCTACTGTGGCTGGACGAAATCCTGCCAAAGTGGTGCAGGAGTTCGTCCATCCACAGTATTAGCCAGTCTTTCCCAACTTGGAGATGCGTAAGGGCTTGATGATGGTGTTCATTCACATACATGTGTCCAGTTATGTCCAGTTGCGCCATGGATAGACGCTGGCAAACAATGGTATCCGTCTGGTCTTCCTGTGGATCCAACCAAAAAGGGCGTTCTTTAAGTGTCTTGAGAAAGACCTATATGGGTGCTTTGCTTGTGTTGGGACTTGGTTCTCTGCTTGAGGTTGGGGCAGGATACGTGAAAAGCGAGAGCCTTTGCATGTGGTTTGCCTTTTTTGGCACATCCAAGCAATGCTCAGACCTGCAACCATGCAAACAGAGGGTACAGGAATCCGTTGGCTGCAGGAAACCACTCCGGCCCCCTTTGAAAATGGTTGAACACGGCTCTAGGCAAATCATCCAATGGGATGGGTATTTCAAGACAACACCCGAAGGACCCAATTTGATCTATGGGTTCCATGAGATTAACATGACGCGCAGTTTCCAACCCAGGTGGCCGGCGAGATCAGGAAAAAAAATCAGAGTTCTAAGCCACATCCCAAACAATCACTCTCAAAATTGCTCTGTTGCTTTCTGCTCCACTGCTAAAAGTTTAACTTTTAGTGGTTTTTAGTGGAAAACCCCATTAGTTTGCAATGCGGCTAAAAGTTAAAGTCCTAACATCCAAGCAAAATGCACCAAAGTGTTGTTGTTGTTCTTGGGTTTCCCCCAAAAAAAACTCTTGAGAACCCCTGGAAAACACGACCACTTTATGACGCCCAGTCATGTGGAAGCCACCTGAACTGGGCTCCCAAGATTTCCGCCCGAAACATCGTCCCACGAATCTCTGGCCGGAGTGATCCAAAAGGGTGATGTTTAAGAGTTTAAATGGGAAAGGGGAAATGTAGGGACACACATGTGTTTATATTTTTCCCAACAGGACATTGGAAAATTGGGCCGGCTCTGAACCTCTGTCTGTTCTCAGTGGCCGGAGTTTTTGCCGTCTGACACATTTTTGACCGAGCAGCTCCATGATGAGGCACAGCACGGTCCCTGCCTTGCAGGTCAGTACCTGCCCAGAATCCGTGAGCAAAGAGACAGAGAGGCAGAGAGACAGCAAGATACTGTAGAGAAGACAAGGAGACAGCGAGAGAGAGAAAGAGAGAGGGAGAGAGAAAATGCGTGACTGTGTGTGTGCCTTGGTTTTAATGAGGATGTACGTGCGTGTCTTGGTTTTGGTGACCAAAAAGTTGACCAAACAGTTGTGTCGACCCCGGCTTTTCCAACCGGATGGTTGGGACTGTCCCCATTACTTCCCGTTGGTTCATGTGGCTCGAACATGGGACACGACCCCCGAGAAACGTCTGGCTGCGGGTCCTTTTTGGGCGTCCCAAATCGAGCGAATCTCAATCCTCAAGGGCCTGGGATCAAACATCTCCCCAAGAAATGTTTCTTGAAGAGCCCAAAAAGGGGGAAACCCCTGTCTCAAAATCTGTGTTGGCTTCCCGAAACGAACCAACAGAAGGTGCCTACAATTCCCCTACCCCCCCAAGAAAGCTCAATTGAAAACTCTCTACACCAAAAATGTCAAAACCCTTCACGAAAAAAACTATGGAACCCAAAAGCCAAGGCCCGTTCAGGTGTGGGTGCTGGAGGTATGGACATTTTAACATACCTATAGCTAAGGGGTGACCAAACAATTGCCAACTAAGCTTTTATATTGGTGGGGTTTGAAACCCGCATAGCTCCAAAATCAAGACAGAAGATGCGAGAAACCCCATACCAAGACATAAAACGACGGCACCCACGCAGCCTCATGAAACTGCGTGATCCACGGGCCTCGGAGGTAGGGAACCAGGAAAATCCCCCAGAGCATCCGAGGATTTCCACAACCAGTGAAAGACGTGATTTCATTCATCTTGGCGCCCGGAGAAAAAACAAAAAACAAAACACAACATGGGGTTTCCTGGTGAATGGATGGCAAAATACCAATCTAAACCAGTGCAGCCCATCCATTTCAAGCCAAACTAATAGATCAACAGGACACCTAGGACCTATCTTCCTTGCGTTACTCAAATTATAGTAGGGGAATCCGTTCTTTTACTTCTTGATGTCTAGCCAAACTTCACCCAACCGCCGTGAAAACAGGCCACCGAAGGTCCAAACATGTTGGGACTAGGACCACACCGCACGTTGGGAGGCAATCCAACGCCCACAGACTGCATGGGATCGAATATATTCGATGGGAATATAAATTCCAACATTTGGCCCAGGTTTTGCTTTGTGGATACACGTGGGATGCCTCAAAATCAGGCAAGGCAATTATCCAACAAGTGGAGACCCTTTTGGCTTCCTCTCAAAACAGCCCAAAACAGGAAAGCCAAAAGCATAGTCCTAAATGTGTGTGTGTGTGTGGGTGTGTGTGTGCGTGCGCGCGCACGCAGTGTGTGTGTGTGTGTGTGTGTGTGTGTGTGTGTGTGTGTGTGTGTGTGGGGTTCGGGTGCGGGTGCGGGTGCGGGTGCGTGTGCGTGTGCGTGCGCGTGCGCGTGCGCGTGCGCCTGCGCGTGCGCGTGCGCGTGCGCGTGCGCGTTCGCGTGGGGGCGTGGGGGCGTGGGGGCGTGGGGGCGTGTGCATGTGCGTGTGCGTGTGCGTGTGCGTGTGCGTGCGCGTGTGCGTGCGTGTGTGGGCGTCGGCGTGCGCGTGCGCGTGCCCAGGCGCGTGCGCGTGCGCGTGCGCGTGCGCCTGCGCCTGCGCCTGTGCGTGTGCGTGTGCGTGTGCGTGGGCGTGGGGGGGGCGTGGGCGTGCGCCTGCGCCTGCGCGTGCGCGCCTGCGCCTGCGCCTGTGCCTGCGCCTGCGCCTGCGCCTGCGCCTGTGCCTGCGCCTGCGCCTGTGCCTGTGCCTGTGCCTGTGCCTGTGCGGGTGCGGGTGTTGGTGTGTGGGTGTGTGGGTGTGTGGGTGTGTGGGTGCGTGGGTGCGTGTGTGCGTGGGTGCGTGGGTGGGTGGGTGGGGGGGTGGGTGGGTGTGGGTGGGTGGGGGGTGGGTGTGAGTGTGTGGGTGTGTGGGTGTGTGGTTGTGTGGGTGTGTGGCTGTGTGGGTGTGTGTGCGCGTGTGCGCGTGTGCGCGTGTGTGCGTGTGCGCGTGTGTGCGTGTGTGCGTGTGTGCGCGTGCGCGTGTGCGCGTGTGTGTGCGTGCGTGCGTGCGTGCGTGTGTGTGTGTGGATACCCGCTTCAAAAGGGGTGCCTGGGTTTCTTTTATGAAATGGGAGAAGGACTCCAGGAATTTTGAGGGTTGCTTCAGGCCCACGCCGAGCTGGTTTCAAAAGCTCGCTTTTGGGGGGCCATTCGCTGTCCGAGCTGTCCGTTTTCAGATCCCCTGCCAAGCGTCGAACTCTTATGACCCAAGTAGCCAAATGGTCGAAGGCAAGGGAACCCACGAAGAGACTCGGGTTCCACTCGGAGCCCCCAATGGCCTTTTTTCGTTCGAATGACAAGTATACCTTCCCAGAGGCTCCCGGTTTTCGAGGTCACGGCTTGGTGGGAACCTACGAGCAACGCACCCCGCTGAGTTCTGCGGCAGTTCCGCGAGATCTTCCGCATGAGCTGAGCTTCCCGGAAGGCTGCCTCCCTTTGGGCCTTCGACCAAAACCCGGAAGGAAAAAGTGGACGACCAAAGCGATGCGAAAGGAACCACACCACCCCGGAAAATCTGGCTTGAGATTTGATGGGTCGTGCAGAGGGGTTTTACAAATCCCTTTAGGTGTTTTTGGTGGGTTGGCGGTAGTTGAATTTAGGAGAAGGTTCGAAGGGAAGTCACCCTTTGAGGGGTTCTGTGAGGGCTCAACATGGGCAAGACTCCAATCTTTCCGAAGATTTCATAGAACCCCCGATATTGCCGATGGAGCTTGCCTTCATAATATGTTTCCCTTCATAGTCCCGAAGGCCTCACTAAAAGCGGCCAAAGATTCCAATTAGTTTGTTCCCTTTGTGTCAGTCGATTTCGCCTTGCTTCCCATATGTGTTCCTACATTTCTGCATGGCTGATCACTCCGAGCTGTCCCGAAACGGCCATCCTCTCGAACAGCTTCCGCAATCTTTCGAGAGAGGCTCGCAGAATCCGCTTCCATTGGTGTACTCGTTGAAGGGCGTCCTTTTGGGTGAATAGTTGGGTTGTGGACTTTGTGGGTAACGTACAATAATTTGCGGAAACAAGTACCTTTCAAAGACCCACTGCTGTTCGATGGTCACTCCTTGCAAAGGCCTGTTGATCAATGTCCAATATAATTCCCTGATGGAGGAAATCCTGCACCACCAAAAATGATGGTGCAGGATTTCGTCCATCGACAGTACGTTTGACCGTGTTTGACTACATTTCCCTCAATATCCTTGTAGGTTCTCACATTCACATAAATATATGTCCTATCTCACCCATCTGGGGTACCCTCTTTCATAACCCAAGCGAAGAGTTCAGGAGTTTGTAACCATCCACTGTAGGGAAGGTGTGGTTGGGCGATTCGTCCCCTTGTTTCAACCCTGGTTTCAACACCCATTTCAGCTTCCCACTACTTGGCGGTTTGGATTGGTGGTTTGGTGCCTAAGGGGTGGGTTTCCCAGTTTCCCTCTAGTCCAGGGGTCCTATTCCAAATCAAAGCCTCGCATCCAAACCAAGGGCTACTTGACCATTGTCCAAGCGACCTCCTTTTGTTCCCGTTGACAGGGAGTCAGAGTGCAAAGCCACCTGTTGGTGCCAAGTTCGGTCTTGAAGGTGTCATAGTCAGAAAGCAAAGTTTGGGGTCTTCTAAGTGCTCTACCGAAATCCATGTTTCAACAATGAAGAGGGCTTCTTCATCTCCGCAAGAAGTTCTTGTCGGGGCTGCCCTTTTTTTGAGTAGGTGGCTCAATTGGATTCTACCGTGGTCAAGGCTAAAAAAGAGGCGCCTGACCCTAGCCAGGATAGGAACCCTAAACCCAAATCAACCCTCCCGAAACCTGGGATGTTTTGCTTTGGAGAGGTCCCGGCCTCTCCCACTTCCACCAAGGGCAGCTTCTTCAAGACCCTCTGCTCCGGCTCTTTGCGACCCCTGAGAGCCGCATCCCGCCGGAAGCTAAGCTCTGCCCGACCGATGGCAGAGAGGCCCTGGAAATTGCCACCTGGGGCCTCCACGTGCCTCCAAATGGTGTGTGCTTTCCAAAACCCCGGACTCCATTTCCGAAAGAAAAAACAAGGAAGTGGCGCCACAGTGGCGCCTGCCCTTTTTTTGCTTGATAGTGGGGGGTTCACCTTCAAACAGTTGACAGGAAGCAACTGGGCACCGTGATTTCATTGAGACAACCCCCGTGGTTTTCCCACATTAAAACCAAAAGCTCAGCTCACTGACTCACCGTCTTAAAATGTGGTTCCCCCCGCCGAAATTTGGCGCGAACGCCTAGCTTACAAGCAGAACGCACCTGGAGGGTAGTTGGTCAGGCGCGAGGCCTCATTTTTTGTGTTTCGTCTTTTAGACAAGACTAAGCATATGCTCAGGACCAACAAACATGAGCATAAAACATACCAAGCAAAACAAACATATATCTGCAAAATGGCCACGTGAGGTGAACAAATCCGAATCCGAACAGTTCTCTCACCTTGCTCTGGCCTCACTACCTCCACCAGATAGGCCTTCCCGAAGGCGCCGCGGCCCAAACCTGCCGGTTTTGCTCCCGCTTCTTCAGAAGCGGGTGCGCTAGTCATAAAAGCCAGCAGGAAGTTCTACAGGAAACTCGCCAAATTCCCACCCAAATCAGGGGTTTCCTGTAGAACTTCCTGTTGGTTTCTTAGAGCTAGGTAGCCCAGAGGGCCCAAGAAGAAAGGAAACGCCAGGCGGATGATGAAAATATGGGGGCGCCGGCAAGTTTTGGCTACCGCTCGCAAGGGAAGTTCGGTTCCATGTCTAACCCAAGTTGAGCTGAGCAAGGCAGCCGAGGGTTTCCAAACTGGCCTAGGGTGGTGAGGCAATAGATCCCCAAGTTCTTTTTCCAAAGAAAACTCATCCACCAAACCAAAAAGCAAGGGTTTTTCAAGCCCAAGAATGGGAGATGCCCTCATGGCACTGGAAAAAACCGAGCCAAACGGGCGCTTCTTGGGCTTCAATTTCCAGCACTAGCTGGAAAATGACAACTTTGTAGTACAAGTATAGTACGCGAAGTACAAGTTCCCAGCTCTGTCTGGAAGATCGCAACTTTGAAGTGCAAGTATAGTACGCGAAGTACAGGTTTTGAGCTCCAGCTCGAGAATCGCAACTTTCTAGTACAAGTCCAGTACGCAAAGTACAGGATTTCAGCTCCAGCTGGAAAAATCGCGACTCTGTAGTACAAGTCTAGTACGCGAAGTACAGGTTTCCAGCTCTCGCTGGGGAATCGCAACTTTTGTAGTACAAGTCTAGTGCGCTGGCGCGCGAAGTACCGCAGCCCTAGATGGAAAATTGCAACTTTGTAGCACAAGCACGCGATCGCAACTTTGAAGTACAAGTCGAGTGTGCGAAGTGCAGGTTTCCAGCACTAGCTGGAAAATGACAACTTTGTAGTACAAGTATAGTACGCGAAGTACAAGTTCCCAGCTCTGTCTGGAAGATCGCAACTTTGAAGTGCAAGTATAGTACGCGAAGTACAGGTTTTGAGCTCCAGCTCGAAAATCGCAACTTTCTAGTACAAGTCCAGTACGCAAAGTACAGGATTTCAGCTCCAGCTGGAAAAATCGCGACTCTGTAGTACAAGTCTAGTACGCGAAGTACAGGTTTCCAGCTCTCGCTGGGGATTCGCAACTTTTGTAGTACAAGTCTAGTGCGCTTGGCGCGCGAAGTTACGCAGCCCTAGATGGAAAATTTGCAACTTTGTAGCACAAGCACGCGATCGCAACTTTGAAGTAACAAGTCGAGTGTGCGAAGTGCAGGTTTCCAGCACTAGCTGGAAAATGACAACTTTGTAGTACAAGTATAGTACGCGAAGTACAAGTTCCCAGCTCTGTCTGGAAGATCGCAACTTTGAAGTGCAAGTATAGTACGCGAAGTACAGGTTTTGAGCTCCAGCTCGAAAATCGCAACTTTCTAGTACAAGTCCAGTACGCAAAGTACAGGATTTCAGCTCCAGCTGGAAAAATCGCGACTCTGTAGTACAAGTCTAGTACGCGAAGTACAGGTTTCCAGCTCTCGCTGGGGAATCGCAACTTTTGTAGTACAAGTCTAGTGCGCTGGCGCGCGAAGTACCGCAGCTCTAGATGGAAAATTCAACTTTGTAGCACAAGTCTAGTGCCCTCAAAAATCGCAACTTTGTAGCACAAGCACTCGATCGCAACTTTGAAGTACAAGTCTAGTGCGCGAAGTGCAGGTTTCCAGCACTAGCTGTACAAGTTTCCAGCTCTAGCTGGAAAATCGCAATTTTGTAGTACAAGTCTGGCGCGCGAAGTACCGCAGCCCTAGATGGAAAATCGCAACTGCGTAGCGCAAGTCTAGTGCGCGAAGTACGGGTTTTCAGCTCTAGCTGGACAATCGCAACTGTGTAGCGCAAGTCTAGTGCGCGAAGTACAGTTTTTCCGCTCGGGCTGGATAAATCGAGCCCCATTAGCTTATACCGAAAAGTGTTCTCTCTAATTATTTTCTTGGGTTTGCGCAAAGTGATGTGCATTCGGGTTCGTGGGCTCTGTCTTGTTTTCTGTAGTCTATGCTAGTAGGGGAATCGTCGCCCGAAAAAAAAAATGGTAAAAGGGCACTCCTGATCGACCTAGGAATTGTTCCTGAAAAAATCGAACATCCAGAAACTCAGGGAGTTAGAACCCCCAAACGGTAGTACAGGCCGCTCGGCATCGGACACGAGGCGAACCGTTCGTTTCGTTTCTGGTGTTTGGTTCTCTGATCGGATAGATGTTTGGTTGCCGTTTTGATGTTCTTTTGCACCCTGTGTTTTCTTATTATCCATGTGGTTGCCCTTGTACACCTAAACAAGCTCCCGTTCAAGCTTCACTTGACGTTGTCCCCCCGATGTCCAACCCCAAAATGCATCAGGTCGTGCTGGATCGAACACCAGCTTAAAAACCTTGTCATTTTATGGGAAACCCCATTTTGTCTTTCGAGGGTCTGGACGCGGGTACTAAAATGTTGCTAACTCTCCACGCGAAACCTGCGTCCGTTCCCGATCATAGCCAGCTTCACTTGACGAAGCTGGCCGCATCATTCTACCAAAGTCACCCACAAAAAAAAACATACCATGGTTTTATTAAGATAAAATAAACATAAAATTACAAATAAAACAAACATAAAAATAAGTCAGACACTCATGGCTTTCCTTATGGTCCCCCGCTAAAACCCCCAGAGCCGGGCACCAACTCCATGAAGGTCCTTCAGATTCGAGAGGTTAGAAGAATGGTGCCCTTTTTCAGTAGTCTACTTCAGTAGGGGAACCCCCGCCCCCAAAAAAAGAAGCGGTAAAAAGGGCACTACTGGGGGACCTAGTCCGGAACTAAACCGAAACACAAAACCACCTCCCATCAGCTTCAAGGTCAAAACGGCCTTAGGGTGCCTTCCCAGTCGGTAAATCAAGAGAAATTAGGAAGGGCCTAGACTAGGACCTGGGAATTGTCAAGACCCCCATCCAATTCTCCGGCCGCGCGGCAGCGCAGCTTCCGATACACCGGGAGGTGCCAGGCCAACCGCTTAGGATCCGCCAGCTGCCCAAAGACGCCTCGGAAGGAGCGAACGAGCCATGGCCATGGCCAGAATAAAAGTATGTGTTTTTCACTCAACTAGGTCTTAACTATAACAAATACCATGTTTGAACTAAAAACCAATCACTCAATTTCAGAGCATCAATCAACAGTTGTAAACTCTAGATGGAAGACATTCTGCACCAGGTTGAGACCATGGCTGAAGCCATCACGTTTGTTGGTATTTACAGGATAATTGCATCATTCCAGGATTTCTAGTGCAGGAGTTCGTCCATCCAATGATGTGCTTCCCCAGTAAATACCACAGCAAGCAATGTGTCAAAGTGGTGCAGGATTTCGTTGATCTGCAGCGTGCTTTTGATCGGCTAGTTCGGTCAGAAATAGATGGGTTCCACTGGTCTTCTGTTTTCCATATACCAAGGAAGCCGGGATCGGAACATAGGCGTCCTTTCAGGACATCGGACGGGCTTCTCGGGTTGCATGGTGCAAGCACATGGCATAACACTTGCAGAATCCACCGGCTTTTTGTTCGATTTCTTTGGCCCCAGACGGTGATACTGTGAATGGTTGCGACATCCTGTTCTCACACCACCGTTCTAAGAAATCCATCGGAATGATGCGATTTCTCAACGTAAATACCGTAACAAACATGTTGTGCCATTTACCATGGATTTCGTCCGTGTACGCTTGGGAAAGTACATGGGCTTCCCTGGCAAATGGCATACCATGAATCATGAAACCAGTGGGATCTCATCTATTTCCTTCCAAACTAACCGATCAAATGGACACCTACAGATCTAATTTCCACTCCGTTCATTTACCTGGATTTGTTGGTAACCAACAAGACCGCCTTGAAAAAACCAACGGAACATAGTTGGTTGCCTCACGCCAAACAGTAAGCTGACCAGCACCCGCAACAGCACAGCACAAAGACCAGCACCCGAGCACCGCCAACAGCACCCTGGCTGCAGCGCCAAACAAGCACCGCCACCCTGACTGCATCACAGAACAGCCACTGCCAACGACCACCATAACACCTTCCAGCGCGCCAAACAGCACCTGCAGCACCAACCTGGCCCACATTCGTCTTTAAATGCAAGAACTGTATTCAGCGAGCTGGGGAGTCTAGAACTGGAACATCTGGCTTTAGAAACGCCCCAAAATCTCTACATTTCGCGCATATGCTCACATTGGGGTTGCGTGTTTGAGAACTGGCGTATAGACCTGGCCTTTGATACAGGTGGTGGCCTAGGCCGTGGTACGCGAACAAATTCTATCTGGAAGGAACCATCTCTGCATTTGTTTTGCTGTACTTCCAAAAGCTGAGTTGAGAATTGGATCCCCAGGTATAGGACCTTTTTCATGGCGAGCTCGTTTTACCCCCGATCGTTGAGCTCGCTATAAATTAAAAATGGACAGATCTTGCGCTATCCGGCCCGTACTCAACCACAAAAGCGCACACCAATGGGGTGTTGTTTTCTGAGGAAGTTGGCACGGTTTGGCTGAAGGATGCTTCTGAGTCTTTGCATGTATGCAATGGCTGGGTCACCACAACAATGAAGCCAGGGATCATGCGTATAAACAGCCGCACGTAAAGCGCTGGCAAGTAGTTGAATAATTTCATTGCAAAGCAATCAACTTAAAGCCAATGACAGCACCCAAGCAATCAAGAGCAACCTGCAGCAATCTATGGCAGCCCGCAGTTTACAACTGAACATGCTGGATGATGCGAACATTCAGTTTTCGCCAATGGAAGAGTGTGTATACAATATGTTTTGTCTCCAGATTGCACTTGTTGAACTTGAGCAAATTTCGTTGAAAACTTGGGGCAAAGACTGCACCTGCTACGTTGGGTCAAGGCTAAAATTTCTACATTAAGGCACTTGCTGACGTCTGAGCCAAAGCAAGTCTGGAAAGGGTGCATTGTGTTCTCACGGGCAGGCCCTCAACAAAACCACACGCCGCCCGCAGTTGGCAAAACACACACACACACTCTGGAAAATCCAAAGTCTTTTCTGCCCGAACGATGTAGACGTGAAAGCAAGTCAAATCAAACAAGTATTATATAGTTGTACGCCTATATACATAGGCCATATCAGAGAATGAAATGCACGGAGCAGTTTCAAAAGAATAAAGAAAAGGAAGGGACGTCGAATTTGCTCGTGCCAAACCCAAGACTTCGACTGATTCACGGAAGTAACAGCGCCAAAAATTGCACAGAAAAACCTATCCCAAGAACCCTGGCCTGAAACTTCCAGTCGGGGAAGGCTCAAAGAACAACCCGGGACTATCACTCAAAATTCAATGTCCAAACAAGCTACAACTGCAAGGTCTTAACTTTCCCTCTGTGGCAGGCGTCAAATCTTCTCAGGTATATGTCTGAGTTTGAAGTTATTCTGTTTTTGGAAGACACTATGATTCGTTGCAGCACTTGGTTTCCTCCTCTTCCTCCCCCCCTCCTTGATTTGCTTGCTCCTTGCCCTTCTCTGGCCTCTCCTCTTCTGAGTCTACAGCCAGTGGTCGGAGTCGAAGGCTGTTTTGCGCCTTAAGTCTCATGCTGCGATTACCTCGAGCTTCTAACTTTCGCTGTTGTTTCTGCGTGGTTTGCCGAGATTCCGCTCGGAAGCTTTGAGTTTGTGCGTGGCCGGATTTTTCGGCTAAGTCAATTTTGAGGGGCGAGCAGTCTCTGGAAAGTGATAAGTGTGTGTGTGTGTGGCTGAAACCCCCATAGGCTTCCTTTTGGCTTCCCCCGCACAAACGCCCAAAGGACACAAACCATTTCCCCCGGCAAAATCGGCTATTTCCAATGGTAGATTCCCTTTCATACCAGGAGAAAACAAAATCAGATTCATTTCAGCAAATGGACGCCTTCGGGTTTTTTGGGGTTCCTTTTGACCGCCGGGTCTTCGGAACCGCTTCCCCGGGCCCTGGGCCATCTGGGGCCTTTGTCGGAGCGGTCGCTGGACGAAGGCAGAGCTCTTGGATGCAGCGTCGGCTCCAGGTCCATGGCTCGCCATCACGGGTTGGCAGGCCACCGAGTTGGTCACCTACGCGAAAGACCCAAAGGGCCGAAGCACACCGGTGAAGTTGTGCAAAAAAAGCTGTTGGGCTGTTGGGCTGCTTTTGCTGGGCTGTTGGGCTGCTGGCTACGAACCGAACCCCAAAAATGGTCTAAATTAGTCTGTCATATGAAGATGTGTAAAAATGATCGCCCTTTCAAAAGCATCCCAGCTTCGGAAAGAAAGCGTCTTGCTGGCGTTGCTTAGAAAACCCACAGCTGCTCCTTTGACATGGCCATGAAGCTGGGCTCGCTCAGGTTGCCAAATACAACAGGCTCACTTCCTGGAGTGGATGGGCCACACAAAGTCTTTAAACATGTATATGTCCCACCAGAATGGTCTTTCGAAAAAAATATGAAGGCTGGGCAGACCAGGAACTCAGAAAGTGAGTTGGGCCCCTATTGATCTTCCATTTGAGAATTCGCATGGAAAAGATGAGAGGAACTACGATCGATTCTCTTTAAAACCAAATGAAATAACACGTCTTGTCAAGCACATGGAATCTATCCGATCTTCCCTAAGGCGGCCTAAAATGCGGCGTCCAAAAGGGGGCCATATTCAAGTATGTCCTTTTCTGAGGTTCACCAACTCGGGGTGGTCTTACCCCCTTGTTTGGGGGTCCGTAGTTTGAGACAAAACCGTTTTCAACATTTAAATTTGGATCCTAGGCTGCTCAAGTCAAACATCCCTGACACCCCCGCCGTCTCGCCGCCTCGCCGCCCGCCTCCCCAATTCCCCGGTTTTTGCCGGGGTTCTTTCACACACCGAAACCGCAAAGTGGAACTTGCAACTGCAACGAACTTTGCAGCTGCCGACCGCGCTGGCGGCTGCGCGCGCGGTTTCGGCCAAACCTGATGTGCTGCTTGTGGAGCCTGCACACTTGGGCTTGGCATTGCCCGAGGCTTTGCAGGGGAAACAAATTCCCCGCGATTCAGTTGCCTCCATTGAATCAATGGTTCATAAGGATTGTCATCCAAATTCAGCCAACCTTTCTCTATTAATGGGGGTTGAACCTTAGGGAGTCACCTTCCAAAACACGGTTGACGATTGCCAGGCCAAGTGCTGCATGCTCGCTTGAAAATTGTTGAAGCCTCCGGCAGCTGCGGTCCAAGCCATCGCCCCAAAGAAGTGCAGCCGCGATTGTGGCGATCAGAGGGGCCATGAGAGCGACGCAACTGCCGCAGCCGAGAAACATCCAACCGCCCAGGTTTTCCATTGCTTCGGGGATGTTCGCACATTCGAAGCTTCCGACAGATTGCAGGGAAAGTCTTAGGAAACCTTGCGGGCCTTTGCGGGCCTTTGCGCAGGATCAGAGCCACCAGCTCCCAGCGATCGAATCGACGCTCCGGTAAGCTGGTGACGCCGCTTCGCGAAACGCGATCGATGCGAACCGATCAATCGCGCGGAATTGCAGAGGTTCGGCTCCTTTGTTTTCCGGAGCTCAAGAAAAAAAACACCACAGGTGACCTTTTTTGGTTGGTTTGGTTAAGAGTAGATGGCGCTGGTATAGACTGGCTGCATTTCATTTACCAGGGCCATCTGGCCATGGGTCAAAATCCCGTACCCCCAGTGAACATCCCGCTCCCCACTAAAATAGACTAAAATGGGTGGTGCACCTTCCCCAAAATGGGATACCATTGGAATTGACTCACAGCCATCTCTATTTTTCCAAAAAAGTCCCCCATGGACGTCACGAATTGCTGCTCACCGAGAAGTCAGACATGGCCTTGACTCAAAAGCATGCATTTGCTTGCTGTGGCTCGGCCAATTGTCTGCGTAGGAAATGACATGCGGCGATCGGCTCGGCCCTCGAGCTCCAAAAAAACCCTCACACTCAGGTGGCCGAGCGACCGAATCAGTTGCTTCGAGATGGGAATGAGACAGAGACTTGGATGCTGTTGACCCCTCTGCATTTTTTCCTTTTATATTTTGTGGGTTTAGCAAAAAAACCCTCGATTTCCATCAAGAAGTTCAAGTCTAGAGATCCAACCCAATAGCAGTCAAGGAGATGAGCAAGAAACACTACTCCAACTGGCTTCCCTGAAGGGAATCCCCAACACCGGGATTCCTTCATTCCCACCCGGAACGGTCATTCCCCATCCAAAACCCTCGCCCAGGTCAAGGGTTGAAGGCCAGGGTGAAGCCCTCATCATGTTGAGGGCTATGGGAGTGGAACGCAAATAGGTTCCTTCCGATTGCAGAAAAGTAAAGGAACCAGCTCTTTTGGGTTGGAAACGGCCTCTTCTTGGAAGTATCAGGTTTTGGGGGGGTTTCTTTTGAAGAACCAGATCATGGAGCTCAACTGTTCAAGACTTTGTCAAAGGCTGATTGTATGCGTCCATACACGAATCCCTGATATGAACCCCTAGTTCATGGGCTAATCAACTGCTGTGCTGCTATGGCTTTTGGGAAATCCGTCCAAGGGTCGGATTATAACCATGGGTGGGAAGCCATAAGTCTCCCTACCCCATTCCTGCAACATAAGCGAAGCACATCATATGCCCGGTTGAAAGCGGTCAGTTCCACGACCGATTGAACCACCGGGGCCACGTGCTGTATGCTAGAGCCCCCCAAAATTCCCAAAACGGATTCCCTCAAACAAAGCCAGGATTCGTCCAAGGCTCGCTACCCTTTTCAGCTGATGAAGGGGAAACCAAAAGGAAACCAGCACTTCAAACTTTGCGAGTCGCTCTATTCTGCTGACACAGCTAAAGTTCTACTTCCGTTCTAACAAAAACATGGTATCAAAGAAGTAGCGCGGACCCGGTGGTTGGGACGGAAGCCCAAACTTCAGCTCCTTCGGTTTTGCTTCCCAAGGAGCTGTTTGGGGCGGTCGGAAACTCTCGCCGATGCACTTGGGTGTGTCTCAACATCGGGGACCCCAAATAATTGGTTTGGATTGGGTTTCCTTTACACTCAACAGGACTATCCCAAAAGGGGCCTTGTGGTAATCCGAAAAGGGCACTCCCTTTGAGACAGACCCAATGGTCTATTCGAATTCCGTGAGGGCTATGTAAACTCCCTCCTGCCACGAGGTTTATGCCCAAAACCTTGGTTTTCGGAACGCCGAAAGCGCATGAGCCTTGATGCCTGGAGTTTCAGACCTCATACCCGAGCAGGGCTCCGGAAACACCGGGAGTTTGGGAGGATCCACACACACAAGGCGAAAAAACAGTCCGAAGCGCGCTGACGGGGCGCGCGTCGGAGGTGTCGCGCGCCAGACTTTGCTGCGCACTTGAAATCCTGGGAAACTGCTTCAGTTAAACCCCCAACGGTCCCAAAATTGTTGTCAAACAGCACCAACATGTGTACCCTGAAAACAAACACACAAACCAACAAACAAAGAGACAAACAAACAAACAAAGAAACAAACACACACACACGCACCCCTCGAAAATCCTTGTATCAGACCGACTCTCCTTCCAAGCCGAATGGTCCAGCGTCATTTGGGATACAGGTGAATATCACTATTGACCTGCATCACTTGACAAATATTTGAATATTTGCAAGAAGTAGAAACCCGTCGGGAAAGGGCAGCCTGCAGGCAAGCGGCATCCCAGGTGGAGAATGCAAGCGTCCTCCCTACATCAGAGATGGCGCCAGACTCGAACACCGTTTTCCGGGGAGACTGCCAAGGATTTGAAACATGGGTTTGTCTCAGACAGTTGGGATGCAGATATGTTGGTTCCCCTTTGATAGCAGTTTTTTTTTTTTTTTTTTTTTTCACCGCCCAAACCCATTGACTCTTAGTTCTACCAAGCGGCGTCCAAAGATTTACAGGGGCCTTTCTATAACCCTCAAAACCAGGCTGAGAATGGAACAGACCGTCTACTAAAAGGCTTGCCTTATCGTGTTTGACGCCGCACTGTTTCGGGGGGGAGGTTGATGCTTCGCAAACACCCATTCATGTGCTTCTTCGCTCAATGCCGTTGCCCATTGCAGTCTTCAAGCTCGAGCAATCCAAGTTGCCACTGAGAATGCGGTGGCACGTCTCAACTTCGGAAGGCGTGCGTGTGGGCTGATCTCCAGTGCCATCTTCCGATCGAAAAGTTTGCCCAACGGTGGACCCCTTTTGCTCCGGGTGACTGCCCTGGGCCCTATATATATATGTAAATATACATATATATATATATGTATATATGCTACCCCCCCCCCCAAAAAAAAAAAGAATGTCGACCTGTGTTCTGGTTCCAATGGTATTTGCGGTGTTTAATTATTCGTTTTTGCTTTGGGGAAAGCAGCCAAACAAGGTGCCTTACTAAAATCTATTTATCTAGATTCTAAATAGAAACAAGAAAAAACATCCTGGGAAAGGAAGTTCTCTTTAAAGTCTAATTTGAAGTAAGAATCACAATGAAACATATTATTCCAACTGGAAATCCTATTTACACCATCTTTAAAACTAGAAATATTATATTTGGATGTTCCACTATTAAGTTTTATCTAAATTCAAAATAGAAACTTGGAAAACTCAATCCTAGAAAAAGAGACCCGCTTCAAAGTCGAATTTGAAATCATAATTCCAATTAAGAATATTACAACACAAGCCTGATTAAATTATCGCTACAACAAGACACTCTGCTAGAAATATGTTCTTAAACCAACAGCAAAGAAGAGACCCTAAGGCCTAGAACCGTTTTAACCGTTAAAACCGGTTCAGCCCAATCTCAGAAAAAAGGTCCCCCCCACCCCCTACATGTTTGACCAAAACCGTTTAAACCGTTCAAACCGTTTGAAGCCTCTGAAAGGACAGCCCTCCCCCCCCCCCCCCCTGCAGGGTTCAAACGGTTCAAACGGTTTAATTAAACGTTTTTGGCCCCAGACCTTTCCTCTGAGAGAGGGTTTAAACAGATTAAACAGATTTGGGCCCAGACCTTTCTTCTGAGAAAGGGTTTAAGCTGTTTAAACGGGTCAAACAATTTTTGGCCCAAGCCTTTCCTCTGAGAAAGGGTTCAAACGGTTTAAACGGTTCAAACGGTTGAGTTGAAGAGTCTTTTTCGTTTTGCAGAGTCAGATGTAGTGGGCATCACAGATGAAGACAAACAAAAAGGTCGACATTTGGAGGGGGGGTACCATATACACATATATGTATATATATATATACATATATATATATACATATATATCAACCAACGGCCTTTTGAATGTTGCGCATCAGGACACAAATGGTTAGGTGATTTGCAATGCTTGTTTAAGCAACAAAGTGTTGTGGAGGGTCTTTTGGGGCTGCCTGTGCTTTTTGATGTCTGATGTTATTCGTTTCGGATTAATCAACAGGACCCTACTAGTCATAAGATCTCCCACAACATGTCAATTCCTTACTCAAAGGGGCTTGCCACCCAAAATTTGTGTCCAGTTCTTGTCCTCGTTTAGATCCCACCCGTGCTTCGCATAGAGACTGGGCTCGGATCTGCAGAACTTAGGGTTCAGCGCCTGGATCCAAAAACCGGGCTGTCTGACAGTACTTCACCCGTCAGCTCCAATGCCCAGAGCTCGCTGGCAAGCTCCGCTTGACAGATTTGTGCCAGGCTGCCAAGTGTAAGGGCACTCCAAGGCAGAAGCCAGATCTTGGTGACCCGTTGGGTTCCAATTGGGTTCCCACGTCGGAGGCGGAAAAAGAAAAACAAAAAAACGCCTATGCTTGTCCAGTGCGGGCGAACAAGCGGGGCCAGTTGGTCGTGTCTGTGTTTTGAGGGTACCCCTTGCTTGTGGTTCTTCAGGGAGACCGCAAGGACACATTTTGGGGGGATATCAAAAAAGACACACCCGACTTTATGAGAACCGACCGGATCTTAGACAATCGAGTCAGTCGGCCCTTTCGAGTGCTTGGCCCTTTCGGTGCACCTTAGAGCCAACAGGGAAGGGCCGGCGCGGGAAGGGTCGGCGTTTCCTGAACTCGGATGCGAAATCTGCTCCCCTGCTGAAAGTTTAACTTTTAGTGGTCCAAAACCCACTAGTTGGCGAAAAGTTAAAGTCCTAACAGGGATCCTTACATTATACACCTAAACATTGCCTTGTAAATGGTGGGTTCCCTTTATTTTGGTGGAACAAGCCATGAGCCATGTTTCAAATGGGCAAAATGTATCTTTTAAGGAGCCTTGCCTAACATCCAAGCAAAGTGCGCCAAAGTGAATGAGTGCACAGCAAGCAACTCCTCCAGGCCAGGTGGCCTCCCTCGTTCTTTGGACGGTTTGGAGCCCGTTTTGGTGGTTAAGCGTGGTTTCCCCGTTTCACCTCTACAAGGACCAGGGGCTCCAACCCCCAAATTACCCATGAAAAAGTACCTGAAACCAAAACTCCCCTACCAACTAACATGGAACCCGAAAGGGGGGTCCATTTCCCAAAAAGCGCTCCTCTACAGATTGCTCCTCTATGGGTGGTTTTGTTGGGTTTAATGTCTGGGGAGTACCAAACAAAAATGCTCAAGAAGCAAAAAGGGACTTCATGACCTGGAACCTGGCAAAACTCAAAAAAATCAACAACATATGGCCATGGGTCAAAATCCCGGACCTCCAGTGAAAATCGCAGTCCCCACGAAAATAGACTAAATGGGTGGTGCACCTACCCCAAAAATTAACCATTGGTTTTGACCCACAGCCATATATGGTAGAGAAACTCAGGGTGAATATTGAAACAGATCTACCCTGGACCAAAACAACAACAGTGATAGATTTCCTCCAAAGACCAACCGGGGACAATTTAAAAAAATGGCTCTTAAGCAAATGATGTACTGATCTCTGTAACGGTTTATTGGCTGCCACTGCCCCAAAAAGCCTTCATCTACGAATCGGTGAGCCAATCGCATCGTGGCTCAAGTCACAACTGATGGGGGTTGATCAAAAGAGGAACATGGCAGATCAGTAGAGAAACCACCAAAAAAGATACACTTTCACCACATGGGAAAAGTTGCCCTGATCATTTTAACCCCTTTTACATCTGGGGTTCCAGACATACATAGGATGCATCCACAAATTCCTTACAAGGGGATCCTCAGCTGGTCACTTGCAAGAAGCCAGGAATAAAAGCCGCAGCTGTTGACCAAAATGGGAAACCCCAAAGGTCAAAAGGTTTTTTTTGCTTTGGCCAAACGAGGCAAAGCGGTCCCCCTTGGCCCAAATTTGTATCCTGCAAGGGGACTTGTGGACTATCTTGCGGAATGAAGGCACGAGGGCGACCAGATCAACAAGGCCAGCAGAACCATTGCCGCCAGGAACACAGCGCAGCCAGCCTGCGGAAAAGCAGCCTCCTCAAACCTCATGAGCTTTAATTACTTTACTCTGGCCCAAAAGGTGATGCTTGCAACCAACAAGGATAGAGTGGGGACCCTGTTGATATCTACCCTATGGTCGACTATATCTGACCAGAGGGACTTGCGACGCGAACAGGTGCCTGCAAGGCACATGCTAACAATAAGGAAGGCCGAGCTCCTCGCCAATTCGCAACGCTGCATTGGATGGTCGGCCTTGAAACCCAAAAAGCCACGAATCAACTCACAGAAAGCCGGTCTGTTGCGAGCAGTCCGACATCTAAAGAACGGAAGTAGATGCGCTGGTTCACACAGCTAAAGCTGGCAGCGCCCAAGACCCGTTTCGTTTCTAGCAAGATGCCTGAAGCTTTGTATGACTCTCACTAGAATAGAATAATAGAACACCTACCAAAGCAGGCAGCAAAAACAACCTACAAAATGACCAACACCAGGGAAAGGACCAGGGGCGGTGTTTTTGCAAAGGCCTATGCGGGAAATGTTTGCTCTCTGCAGCGTGGCGACATGTGGTATTGAATGGTCTACCCAAAGTAAAGAATCTATATGGGCGTGTCTTTTTGTGAGGGCACCCCTTATTTGGTGGTTTTAGCTGGAAGCCCAAGGAAACGACCCATTCTGAAAAAAAACCTAAGAAGGAAAGACACACATCGGTGGATTCCTTGGAGCAATCGCACCAAGTACTTTTGAGAACCCCTCGAAATCCAATTAGTAATGTGCGGAAATGTGCGTCACAAGATCACCATTTCAAGATATTCCAATCGCCCACCTGGGCTACCCGGTGTTTCCCAAGCAACCTCCCACAAATGGCTCCGCTCCAAAGATTAGAACGGACCTTCGCGGGTGGCTTTTCGTCAAAACCCCATTTCAAATCAACCGGCTGGCCGACCAAGCAACCGACCAACAAACCAACCAACCAATCAACGAACAAGCCAACCAACCAGCCAACCAACCAACCAACAAGCCAGCCAGCCAGCCAGCCACCCAGCCAGCCCCCACCCTCCCACCCACCTATCAAACCACCCACCCACCCAACAACCCAACCCCACCCCACCCCACCCAACCCAACCCAACCCAACCCAACCCAACCCAACCCAACCCAACCCAACCCAACCCCAACCAGCCCAAGCCCAAGCCAACCCAACCCAAACCAACTCCCCCCCCTCCCCCCATTTTGGGGCAAAACCATTGCGTCAGTTCAAGAAAGTTACGGCCATCGCATAACCCGCCTCGTGGAAAGGCTTGCAAGCGGACCAGGAGTACCAGGTGAAGGCGCATGGGAGCATAAAGAGCAACGCCCCGCCGAAGGAAACGCACAGGTCCGCCCTTGAAATCGATCTCGCGACGACGGAGCCTTCGAATTGACATGGATCGGGTGAGTCTCTAAAGGACCCAACAAGCTTTCTCCAGATCAGCGGAAATTGGTTTGCGTCGGAGCACACTTGTACAAAATTAGTCATTAGGTTTTCCAGACAACTTAGGGAAATAGCAAAAGGGCCAGTAAGCCCTTGTTTCGGGATACCCTCCAAATCACTGAGGGTACCAAATAAAGGAAAATAGTCTTTCAGACTTCCAGACAGGTTCCATGTTAGAGGACAGGGTAATTCTAGATTGTGCCTAACAGTGGGCGGCCAAAATCGCAACTTACCTACATGACGCACCTGGCTTGGCCTATAGGCTGCGAGCGTCGGATTGTCCACAATGTACCATCTGTTAAACATAGGATGTTGTTACCCAACCTCATGACCACATGGCACATTCCCTCCCTGACTAACATGAAAGCTCCCCCAATTGGCCTCTGCAAATGGAAGCTCCTTGGGAGCTTCCATGGAATTGCCTGTGGGAGGGTGGGGGGCCTTCCTGCTGGACCGGCCAGAGGCTTGAATCTCAAAGGAATCGTTTCTTTTTGTGTTTGTTGTTGTCTTCTGCGGTGGTTTCCTCTGGTTTCCCCCAAGCCAAAGGGGAAAAGCAAAATGGGGGGGCAGGAAACCTCATCCATTGCTTCCCGCGTCCAAATGGTTCGTGGCCTTGGGAACCCTCCGGACCAGTCGCCGGGTTGCCCAAGTCGGGACACACCCGCGATGTTATGCTGGAGTCGCTGATGCATGTGGCGCAAAATAGAGAGCTTTTAGTGGATAAGGAAAACCAAAACGGAAACTCACGGCTTTGGAAAGGACCGCTATTTTGAAAAAAGCCATGAGCCAATATTCATGATGGTCCCAACTCACATGAGATTCCGGAGAGTGACCCATTTCACACTGGGGTCAAATGATAAGTGTGCCCAATGTCATTCCCTTTACTACCGTAAAGGATGGTGAATATTGAGCGTGCTCAAGAATCTTGAAGGCAGCCGCTAAGGCGTGTGACTGTCCCCTCGGAGTGATGATCATTCCCTTTCCCTTCGTCCGGCCTCCAGCCAGGTTTTGACTGCTCACCAGATTTCTGCAGTTCAAGCGAGATCAGAGCCTTCCTTTGCATTCCGCAAACGGGAACCCCCCTCCCCACCCCCAGCCACCCCACCCCCTCCCCCGCCCAAAACAAAAACGATCAAAATAAGTAATAATACCTGGAGCACCCTTCGTTGCATAAATTTCTGCCCTTAGCCCAAACGTATTGCAAAACCAGGGGTCGTCACCAAAATATGGTAAACGTACACTTTTTCCTGCTTCGAGCGTTTTTCCCAAAACCGGGCTGGTCGGTCCTCCAAGATGATCGGTCGCTGAATATTCAAAAGGAGCGAGCAGAAATCAAAGTGCAAAACGAGCGCAAATATCCGCAAAACGAGCGCAAATATCCGCAAACGAGTGCAAATTTAAAAACCGTAACAATCCCGCCTTCCTCTGGATGGAAGAAGGGGATGTGGTCGAGCGTTTTTTGGGGGGCGAGCGTTTTTTTGGGGGTCGAGCAGAAATCGGTAATTCGAGCGTTTTTTTCTCGTACCTAAAAAAAAGGGCACGTTGGGTGCCTCAGGTAATAAATAAATAAATGAATTAATGTGTGTATATATATATATATATAAACGACTAAATAAGCGAATAAACCATGGGGAGGCGTCCCTTTGCGGCTTCTGTTGCCCAACGGCTATTTTTAGCCAGGCCACACGAAGCAGGCCCGCTTCTGCCGTAGCACCCAGCTCAACATGAAGACCTCGATCGGTTTAATGCCGGCGGCGAGCAACCATTGGACCGGCGAAAACATCCGAAGGGTGGAGCGATAAAGCCAAGAACTCAACCTGGTTATAAGACTCAAATGGTTTATAAACCTGGTGATAAAGCCAACAATTCAACCTGTTTATAAGATTCAAATGGTCTATCAAAAGTTGAATATTGCATAACAACTTTGAATGGTTGATTCCACGCTCTCTTCACCAATCTTCCTTTTCAGTTTGCAGCTTGAAAGAGAAGGATCCCTGAACAGAATGGCGAGGCTCAGGCTCGAGAGACGTCTGTGATTCTGCAGGCTACCGTTTTTGCAGTTGGTTTAAAGGGAAACCAAAAGGACAACCACATTATTTGGGGGGGGGGGGGGGGGTCCCCGTTATTTTGCCACATACCAGTACCTACATTCAAACCCCACCTGTTCACAAGGGCTGCCCTAAATTAGCCAAAGGCGACTTTGTAACTGGAAATGCATTTCGGGACCTAGAAGGCAATCAAATGAATTGGCCTTCAACAGGAAGATGTCCAGAAAATACCGCAAGAATGTCCATCTTCTCAGGGCAGTCTGAGGGTCCCAGGCGATTTGACGGTAGAACACCGCTGCCAATGTTAGGGCCATGTGTGAAGTACGTACGTAGCGCCCGCAAACACTGACCAAAGCTTCCAAAACCCAGCAGTGTCGTTTCATTGCTTACATTGGCTATATATGGTACAACCCTCACTTCCTGAGTATTCTTGGGCCAAAAAGAGTAACCAAACTTTAGATTTACCACTCAAATGGTCCAACCCCCAAAAATTCGAAGTCCTTGAACTGAGGGTGAGAACCACTATCAAAGACCAGCTCGAACTTCTTCGGCGATGCTCTCGGCGCGTGGCACAAACATAGAGGTTGGGATAGCTCCCAAAGTACCATGCCAGAAGGCCCATCATTCGAGCCTCAGTCGGAAGGATTTCTGCCGTGAGCATCGGTGGTTTTCCATGGGTGTCCCGAAGGTTTCTCATGGATTGCCGAAAGGTTTCCCATGGATTTCTCATGGGTACATCGGCAACAAAGACTGTGGACAATGGGAAACCAACATTTAACAAAAGAAATAGACACACACACGTACCCTCAAGCCCTATAATGACCCTACAATCCTTTGTCGAATCTGTACGCCCTGCTCAAGTACCCCCGAACTTGTCATTTTACAGAAACAAAAGGAACCAACCATCACGACATCTCCTTTTGACTAATCCCTAACCCCACTTGAGGGTTACCCCAAGCCCATCTTGAGAATCCACATTTGGGAGTGTGTCAAAATGGGAGGGGCACCCCAAATAATGATTAGCTGCCTTTTGTTTTCCTTGAGAATCATCTCAAGGGTGCCAAAAAGGACACCCATTTGAGTCTGTTTTCTTGTGAGGGTGGCATAGCCATTTCGAACAACTCCCGACCCAACAAATGCATTTCGGCAACCCAGTTTTTTTTTGGGGGAAACCACTCGTTTTTTGGGCCTCTCTATTTGGGTGTGTCTGATTTTGAGGGTACCCCTTTTGTTGGTGGATTCTAAAGGAACCAAAAGGAAAACGATTGTTTTTGGTGGTCCCCTAAAAAACGACACCTATTTTGACACATAGCTTTGTCAACCCAAATATGGTTGAACCCTCCCCCCCAAGAAAAAGGTGGTGGTTTTCAACTTTGAGTTCCTCTTTGAAAGAACCCGGAAAGGGAGCCGAGGCTCAGAAAGCCCCACTCACCCGTCTGTGAATGCAACTGTTTCCCCATGGACAGAAAATTGCGGCAACATGTTGCAAACCCACCGTTGTCCTTTGGGAAAGCCACTCTATGTTCCGACATTTTAGACACATTGGTTCAAACAACATATGGTTGAATGCCCTCAAAACCCAAAAAGGCTGCAGAGCCTCAGAAAAAAGATGAGCCACCATGATGGCCCTAGCAAATGGAACAGCGCCAATCTGAACCACCGGAACCCATCGATCTCTAACCACACCTAAAACGGACACCTATGGGTTGAGGGGAGGGGGAGGGGAGCCCCTTCAAGCCTTTAGTAAGCCCTTATTTGGGGCTCGTTTGGGCTCCGCCTCCCCTTCCTCCCCACCACCTTTCACGCAGCCACATGATCAGATTTCTCCGGTGTTTTTGCACAAGCGGCTCTCAGACTTTGCCAACTTTCGGACCTCACGTCCATGGCGATGAAGTCCAGCTCCGCCCAAAGGCAGGGGCTCAACATGCCTATGACCTCAGCTTTTCAGCACCCGACCCGCGAGTGTTGCGCCTCTTTGCTGCGGGGGCGTCGTTTTGGTGTCTGCTTTTTTCTGGTTTTGACCCGGGAACAGGTGATACTGCGGATGGTTGCGAAAATAGTTCGACTTCCCCACGAAATGAAACCAAGGTTGACGTTTGTTGGTATTTACATCGGGAATCGAATCATTCCGTAGGGTTTCTGAACGGTGGTGCGTTGCATGGATTTCGCAGCCATCCATGCACAGTATCACCTTGCGCCAAAACAATCGGAACCCACTTTGAGGGGAAAAGAAACGGTGGATTGGCTTTTTGAGGTAACAACGCACAAAAAAGAAACACGCCGCCCAAAGCGCCCGAGGCACGCTTGGGGTCTTCGGAAATACGGCCAGGTGTGGGGCCCAGTTGTTTCCTCTAAAACTGTGGAACCCTTCTATATTTTGTGTTAAACAAGCCAAGCGATAAAAAAGGAGACCTCCCAGCTAAGAGACCCAAGATCCCAAACTGGAAACCTGAAACCGGCTCTTTCCTGTGGGTGTCCAACCAAAGACGAGACCGCTTGGCTCTCGAAAAAGCACACCAAGATTGACCAACTCCAAAGGCCCAACCAAATAAATTCTGAGCCCATGGCAAACAACGAGCAGCATTTGTTTCGGCGTGTCTGCCGTTTTTGGCAGGTACCCCTTTTTGGGTCGTGTTGAAGGACAACTGAAGGACTGGGGCCATCATTTTGTGCTGCCCCATTCAAGACACCCCCCCCCAACATGAAACGTTTCTTCAGGCACTGCGGATAAGAACGCGACGCCAAAAAGCACTGCAAAAGGCCCTGTAGCCGGCAGGCCCACCAGTATGGTAAGCCGTACTTCCCCAGCTGCTTCTGCAGATTGCAGCGAAGTGCCGTCTGCACCTTCCCGGTTCAGAGACAACCCGTGGTTGTCTGGGGGGGGGGGGGGCCAAACACATAATTCTAGGGTGAGCTTCCCCATTTGTTTCGGGGATCCTTCTTTTCAGGAAACCCCCAAGCACCCGTGGGAAACAACCGGCTTGTGAACCCCCCCTTCCAAAAAGGATACAGTCAAGCAAAGACACGCCCATGTGTCCAACCTGCAAACATCACGGGCCCCTAGCAGGGAAACTCACTTCAATATCTGCCGACATTGTTCGGCGTGTCGGACACCTAAGAGAGGATAGAGGTAAACCCCCGGCTGCCGGCTCTCACTCACGTAAAAATTGACAGGGTGGCGCGTATTTATGGCTGGGACTCGCACTGTCCCTTGCTATCTACTCGGGTTCTGATTGGGACCCCGGTGCTGCTTATCGTCTCGACACTTGGCGCCGGACAGAGGCATCGAAGTTCGACACGCTGCCAAACCAGTGACGGATGCAGGAGAACACCAGGGATCGGTCGCACGTCAACCTGAGAGATCGACCCCCAAAAAAGAGAGAAGACCTGGGTCTATGTCAAACCTTGGCAATTGTCAATGCCTGCTTCGTGGCATGAAAGACCCGCCTCCCGATTGGACCAAAACCGCCAAACTGTTTGCCAGAAAAATGCTCCCAAGCTGAATTGGGGACCCCCTGGCCCATGGTGATCATTTGCCTCCTGTCCCTTTCAAGAAACTCTCGGCTTTGCCGTCAACCAGGGTTTCTGCGAATGAATATGATACACACCCGCACAAAACAAAACACCACTATATAAATTGGCTGCATGGAACCCGCCTTAGATTCGCAGCGTCCTGCCTGCGTCCGTCGAGCATGTGCCCCACGCTGCAGCAATGGCACTTGGCCTGCGGCTGGGAATGCACTTGAAACCAACCTGAACGAGGCTCCGTCAAGGGGAGGGAGCGGAGGGAAAAGGGGACAGGGGCAGGGGGGGGGAGCAAAATTCGCCCGCAAATAAACCCTTTCGCACACATTTGTTTGCAAAGTGAGTCCCCAACTTTGGACTTGCTTCCGAAAGCAGAAGGTTCGTCGCGCGCCAGGGAGCCACAAATGCAATGGCGTATCTTGATTCGACCAGTGCCACCCTTTGGGCTTCATCCATTCCAACTGGTGACTAGCGTGGATTTTGTAACCATGGTGAATGCATCAATCTATGGAATGTGGGGACCCCGTTGTTCGACCCACCTGCTTCTTGCTGGTGCATAAACCAGGTGTAAGATGGTCTCAAAAAGCCGAACGGTGTGAAACCGTAAGTCCCCTTCCCAAGAAGCTTGCAGAAGAAGGAGGGCTCTGCGTAAAGGACCCATGAAAAAAATGGGTGATCAGCTTTTGGGGCTAAGGGGAAACCAGAAGGTCAGATCCGGTCGATTCGCTTTGGTTGCAAGCGAGAGGGAGGAGCCCGACAGCAACTCAGGCGGCTTTTTCTATAAAACTAACTTGGCATTGGGTTCTTGGAAAGACCCCTTGTTTTGTTTGTTTACATATTTGACTTACGTTTGGGTTTCTATCAAAACTCAAGCCCAAATGCTGTGAAAAGTCCCTTGTCCCCCGGCCTCCTGCGCTTTGAAGCTCCGAAGTTTCTCGGCCACGTGGCAGCAGCTCCGATGGTAGCCGCCTCGAAGGCCCCGGTCCCAACGAAACACATGTTCGTCTTGCCTAGAAAAACGGGGGGGGGGGGGGGGGGGGGAAGATCTGCAACTGGGCCTTCACTTGGGGCTCAACTCGTCCACCGATCTGATCGAAGTGACCTCCGTTCAGTGGTAGGGTCAGGGAAGCAACCATGTCCATTGTCTTGACTTTGATTCCCCGCCCCCAGCAACGGTCAAAATAATGACCCCAGAGAAAAAAAAAAAAACAAGCTTTAAGTTCGTTTGCCCAAACAAGGGTTTGGGGGGTGCCCGATTGTGGGAATGGTCTCTCAATTGCCCATGTACTCTTTCTTTCTCTCTCTCTCTCTCAAAAACTGCAAACCCGTCAGCCCATCCAATTCAGACCTTTGTTTGGTTTAGCCCCGTTTAGGGAAACCAAAAGGAACACTTTTTTTTTATGCGCCATTTGAGCCGTGAAAAATACTCTGTCAAAAGCGGCACTATGAACTTGCTTTCGCAAACCCCTTCGGTTTGCTTTCGCGGGCTTCGTTCTCTTTAGAACTGCTTTCCTGGGCGCTTTCGCGGCGGACTTTTTGAAACACGCCCTTTGGACTGCATGAGCTCAGAAGCTGCAGGTTGATGATGGCCATTGGCCTTTCTGCCCAAATGTAAGACTGTGTAAAAAAAACTTAAGGCACTTTCGCGATACGCTTTCGCAAGCTTGCGCGGCCTGCGCCTTGGCTTTCGCGGAAATCTTAGGATGCCCCCCTTACTTTGCAGGGGTTATGGCGCTCATGGGTCCAACTGCGCGAGGCCAGGCGTTGCATGCCGAGACCTCGGTCGACGAGAACCGCTTCGCCGAGCGGCGCAGCACCTCGGAGCGGAGGCGCAAAACCGAGGGCTCTCAGTGGGCGGTCCGTTTCCTGATCCCCCGCTCAAAGTGGCTAACCTTTAGTGGGTTAAATGGACAGTGACCACTAAAAAAACACCAAATCAGCTCAGGTGATATCACCAACAGCATGCGGTGCTTTGTTTTGCGCTCTCACCAGCCCGCAGCCCTCGCAGAACCCTGGTGGAACCCTGGTGGAACCTTACCTCAGGGCCGTCTGGGCTGAGACACGAACTTTTAGTGGGGTTAAATGGAAAGCTACCACTAAAACGCGAAAGGACCCCGCTTTCGTTGCAAGTGAGCACAAACAAAAAGTGCCAATGGTCTTGAAGCCCCATCAAAGCCATCATCCTGCGAAAAAAACTTACGCCCAGTGAGCTTGTTATAAGCAGATCACCCTGTCAATCCCAGGCGTTTCGCCACCCAACTGGTTCCGTGGGTTACCTATACGAGCACTGGGTCAAACTAAGAAGTCACCCTACCTGAATTCAGACCACGGTCCTGGGAAAAAGATGGACAGAGTGGGATTTCCATGCCGACTAGAAAAATGATTGTTGAATTCGTGGGAGAGATGTGGTCAGGAGTACAAAATGTACATGGACATGGTCAAAACCTCCGCTGTTTGTTTGGCCCATTGGGCCACGGTTTCATTTGAATCATTGAACCTTTTTTTCCGGATCCTTCCCAGGATGTGGTCATGGTTCCAACGGAAAAAAATCGGATCATTCTTTTGGCTCAGGATCCTTACCATGACCATCCCTGTCGACCCCAAGAGATCCCTACCCCAAGAGAGACTTTGACCCCAAAAGCTGCCAGAACCTTGGGCCTCGGCTTTGCATGGAACCCTCCCAAGCTGCTCCGAAACCGAGTCATGGAGACCCCATAGCTAAAAGAAAAAGAAAAAGACATGCGGATTGCTTCCTTCGGATCCCCATCATCCAGTTGCAATGCCTTCTTTTGGCCAAAAACAACTGGGGTTCCCCTCGTTTACGAAATGAGACAATCCCATAGGGCATTCAGGCACAAGGAGCGCAGGCCAAAAAACGTGGGTTTCATCGGAAGAAAGGGGCTGAGCCTCCGAAAAGCCAACCGGCTAACCCAACGGCACCTGGCTTGTTTCGCCTGCGGGACAATATTTCAGTGGGCCCAACACCTGATGGCACAGAATGAAAAGGCCTTGAGATCCGCTATGGACACTTTGTTGTTTCCAGTCAAAGCCGTTTTCGGTTCAAGAAATTCATGTCCTTTGGCCTCCTGTGAGTGGTGGTCAATAAACAGGCATTGTTCATCAAAATCCAGGTGAGCATAATACGTGAACGTATCCAACCAGGTAGAGTTGGCACTTGCAGAAACTTCAGGAAACTAGCAGGAGAATCAAGTGAGAAAAAGTCAACCCCTTGTACTTTGTGGTCTACACAAAACCCATGGTAATTCATGGCGAGGCGGTGGGAAATGTTCAATTCTAATCTGCACCGAATCGGTTGCGAGCAAGCAAGACATTGGGGTGCGTTTCCTAACCTTGGACCTGAAGAAACCACCCAAAGGGGATTCCCCCACCATAGCTTCGGGTTGCAACCAACTGATAATAGTTTGAGGGCGAGGTAAAGGCGTAAGCCCATGAGGCTTGGCTCTGTGTCTGAATTGGGAGATCAAGCAAGGGATTCCAGGCAAAAAGTCACGGCTGCCACGGCGCGTGGACTGTCAACACAGTCAGCAGAAGCGTCAGGAAGAAAAGTGGCCACCACAATGAGGTCACTTGATCTCAGTCACGAAATGGCTGTGGCTCAAAAAACGATGCCAAAGTGACCACCTGGGCAAATGGAACCAAAGACTAAAACCCACGTAACCCTCGCTCCTTAACTTTGAGCCACACCAAAATGTGTGTGTGTGTGTGTGTGTGTGTGTGTGTGTGTGTGTGTGTGTGTGTGTGTGCGAGTGAGTCTCTCGCAATAGGGGGTTCTCAAACAGGATTCGGTCCCCTAAAAGGGCTGCTTTCTTTTGGCTTTCCCTTTAACCGAAACAAACAGGGATCCACCATTGTTTTAAAAACAACTCAGAGAGGGGTTGTCTCATCTAATTGAACACCCTGTCGATATTTTGCAACCTTCATTGAGGGTGTCGGTTTTTTAGGGTTCTTGCCTGAACAAATACAGTCTATGCATGGCACGAACCCCACACACACACAAATTGGTAGTTTCCCTTTCAAACATGTTGAAACACCCCGTTGATTAAAAAGGGGTACCTTCTCGAAGCGACATACCCATGACGGCCACACAATGTTCCAATTTCACTGCGAGTTGACTTGGTGGATGGTTGCGACTCCCGAATCATTTTGCCAATGCCGATCACTCGACAACTCTGTCACTTTGCCAAAGGACCTGGAAATAGAAAGCGATCACCTTTTGGATCCTTGACTAAATATGGACCAAATCAGAGAAACCAACAATTATGATCCGGTGATTTGCTGAGGGCGAACGATCACTCTCTCCCGTCGGCCTGGCAATAGAGCAGCCGTTCCATATCCTAGAAGCCTCAGAAGCACAGGTGTTGAATTGAGCACGACATGCGAGCATAAGTGTCCTTTTGGTGAAATAGATTGGTTTCCCTGGCAAAGGGTTGAGAAAACCAATCTAAACCAGTGGAAGCCATCTATTTCTAGCCAAACCAACCGATAAGGACACCTACGTATGCGAGTTGCAGCCACTCAGACTGCATACGAGTTGCACAAAGAGGAAAATCGTCACACTGATGGGTCCCATGATGATGGGCCTCCAGCGCATGTCCATCTGGCTGAAAAGTGGGAGTGACCAACTCTGACCAACTCTGAAATCCCCCAGCTAGAACAACCTCCCCCCCCCCCCCAGTTTGTAAGTGGACCCCCAAAATAATCACCTTGGTGGATTCAGGGATACTGTTCCCTCCAATTCTTGCAGGTTGCAGTCCCTGCATGCGACGCCCCCCCCCACTAAAAATCCGCCAAAACTTGTCCTTTCAGAGCCCGCTTTCCAGGCTTTCCCACGCCGAAGTAGATATGCCCCGTTCGCCGGCCTGACGATGAAGCGGCCCGGCGAGTTCTCGTGACTCTTCATCCAGGCCGCCATCTCAAAAGTGCCTCAGATCAATCACTTGGTGTCATTGGTGTCCTTTTTGGGGCAAATAGATGCCCCCCTGGTAGATGATGAAACCACGGGTTTACCAGGGCCATCTATGTTTCGACCAAACCAACTAAGAATGACCCCTATGCTTGGTGTCCTTTTGGTCAAGTAGATGGGGTTCCCTTTTTCACCAGTGGAGCCCATCTATTTCTTGCCAAACTAAGCCAAAAAGGAACCCCATGGCCACGGATCACCAACAAAAAGCTTCTGGGGAATGACCTTCCTGCGTGTCCCCGCTTTGGGAATGAACCGTTCAGGGGTTTCCCTCAAAGGAAACCACAAGGTTCTCTCCTTTGAGCACCAGCAAGGGCTCAACTCTAGGGATTCTAGGGATTCAACTTTCCAAACCTATCCAAATGACTCAAATGACCCATTTCTGCAGGTCCGGGACCAAGTGTTTCCCATTCTTGGCGTTGCGTCGGCTTGAGAGACACGGACTCAAAACTTGAGTACTGAAGGGGTCCCGGGGACTTAGCTCAGTGCTGGAAGTCTTGAAAGCAGCCTGCAATCTGAAAGGCCAAGGCACACCACAACCGCCCCACATAGGTGGGATCCAGCAGAACCAGCAGGGTGGAAGACTTGCGCAAGATCGCGCCCATATTCCTCAGCATGCACATCCCGCATGCCAATTGTTATCCCTTCTTCCGTAGATTTCAAGCTTGAAAGCGGTTTGGTTCGCCGGCTTGACCTAAAACCCCTCCAAACGCCTGGCCAGGCGGCAGAATACCCTCAGACTTCAACAGGTCGTCGCGCTGGTGAATACAGATCTGATCAAAAAACCTCGGAGCCGGAACGCGGAATCTGAAACGGCGTGTCTTTTTTGAGGGTATCCTTTCGTGTTGTAGTTGTTAAGGGAAACCAAACAGGACTCGTTTCGTTCTTGAACTGGGATCCCCTTAAAAAAGACACACACCCACATGCGGTTCGGGGCGGTCAAAGCACGTGCCAAACACATGGGCGTGCCACAAGCGGCGTGACTCCTCACCCGAAGCAAGGTCTTGCTAAGGCCAGTACACCTTCTTCCGCGAACGCCACAAAGTGAGCCTGAGCGCTGCACATTGGCACATAACACAAAGCGGCCTCGCCTGTCGCTGCTCGCAACAAAGTCAACTCGGTTGCTTTCTGCTCCCCTGCTCAAAGTTTAACTTTTAGTGGTTTGATGGAAAACCCATTGGTTGGCAAAAAGTTTAAAGTCCTAACATTCAAGCAACATGCACCAAAGTCAAGGTGGCGGGCCCTGCCTTTGCTTCCAAACAAAAATACCTCAAAGGGGGCCGCCAGTGCCGCCAAGGCCACGTAAGGAAGCTAAAGACTGCTCCGAGCACTAACGCCTCAGTGAGATACCGGACTCGTTTTGGAGAAATCAACAAGGGAGATGCCGGGTCCATTCAAGTGACAGCTTCAAACATATCAAAACATTTGGCTATGGGTCAAAACCCCGTGCCCCCAGCGAACATCCCAATCCCCACTAAAATAGACTAAAATGGGTGGTAAAGTGGTACCATTGGTGTTGACCCACGGCCATTTGGCAAAAAATACTGGGACACCTGATGGCTGTCTAACAAAGTCCATCAAAGTGATGTGTTTTGCGTTTTCTTGGGGGGGAATTTGGTTTCTGGGGGCCAAAAGGGACCCACATATTCCTACCATGCCTAGCGGATCCCAGTTGCCGCTATCGTAGGTAACCAACAAGTTTCCTCCTGGTTTCTAAAGGGTGGCTCCCTTGGTTACCTATGCAGGGAAATGAATCCATTGGGATGGTTTCAACCAGTATTCCCGGCAAGACGCTCAAAGCGAGCAACAAAAGCCAAAAATCCAGCCCGGAGAAAACAACAAAGAAAATCCCGATTGCAAAAAACAACAAAAACAACCGCCCTGCATAAGAATGATAAACATGAGGAAAGGTGTTCAACCCAATTTGGTGCAAGATCGATGTTTGTCTCTGGATCTGCGAGTCATGCAATGTGCGCTTGGAACGCGCGAGTTTCACTCTCCGAAAGGTTCAAGAGGTGCAACCAGAGCACAAAGCAATGGTCCAAGTGACAGCTTCAAACTCGCGACCCCCACCCCACCCTTTTCGGGCCCTGACAGGGGGAAGTATTCGGAGCCCAAAGGTACTGGAATGAGAAGGGGTGCTTTCAAAACTCTCCCAGCCCGCGGTTTGTCGGGCCCCCCAAACTCAGACGCGTGGCTCGTGTGTTTGAAGGTTGGACCCCCAAAATGGTTGGAAGTCTTGGATTTTTTTGAAAGCAACCAACTGGTACCAAGTCCTAAGAGACACGAAGAAACTAAGAGACACGAAGAAACTCTTGGCGCGGCACCCACGAGTGCACCCGGAGGTCTGTCGGACCTGCCGCAGGAGTCTTTCTCTCTCTCACTATGGGATAGGACTTGCCGGTTCTCTGCCGGGAATGAGGGAATGACCCAAGAAAAGTCATCCCTTGTGGTTCCCTTTTAAGGCAACCCCTTTCGGTTCATTCCCAAAACCCTGGGTCATTCCCTACTGAGCACCAGCAAGAGAATGGAACATCAAGAACAGACTCAGTTGGATGTGTCCTTTCTTGAGCATGCCCTTTTGAGGGGAAAGGCACAACCACCATTCTTTCCTTCTTGTTTTCCCCATAAAAGACATGCTCACTTGCCCAAAGGACCCAGAAGTACAAGGTTCACCTTTTGGGGTGCCATAAGAATGGACGGACCAAACAAAGGGAAACCAAGAAAGATCGGCTTTGGGCAAATGAGCCTACGACTGTTTTTTTTTTTTTGGGGGGGGGGCGGGCGGGGGGGGGGGGGGGCCGGGATGGATGAAACCTAATTTAAAAACCTGGGATCAACCACGAATCCCAACTGGTGCCTGGCGGTGCAAATTATCTTTAGCCTTCTGGTTTGCAATTGTTTGGTGTCTTTAGCTTGTCTTTATGTCTCATAACATGAAAAAGCGATTGGATTCCCTTTGCCCTCAAGCACAAAACACTGAGGGAAATCCCTGGATCCGACTTTGTACAGTTTTTTTTGTGTTGGGTTTCTCGCGATTGCTGACAAAAGGGGCCTTCAAAGCATTGGTTCCCCGTTGAAGGCCCACTCAAACAGGAATTCCATCCATGCGCGCCCAGGACACACATTGCTATACATTTGGAGCGCACCACCAGCAAATTGTCAGATCGTGTTGCATACCTAACCACCCAACACAGGGTTTCCTCCACATACGGCCTTAACCACGCGTAGTCCTATTATACAAGTTGGTTGGTATACCTCGGGGAACGAATCGGAGAGGCCCATGTGATCCTGACGCAGACCCAATGTGTGCAAACCTCTGGGTTTATTTCCACCGGGCCTGATGCCAATTTTTGCAACCACATGGCGCGTCTGTTTTAAAGCCGAACCCCCCAAAATGGCTTCGGCTTCCCGTGGTTGTCCTTTAAACAGGCGACAGAGGGGTACCAACGTCCCAAAAAAGAAAGACAAGAAGAGCCACCCATGACCCTGATCTCCCTGATCTCCCCCATGTCCTGACCAAAGATCGAAGGCGCCGACTGCGAAGCCCAGCAAAGCGCCACAGTGGCCTGGCTAACCCCCTCCCGTCTCGCTGGCCCCCGACCGCTGGTCTCTGAGAGCTCTGGAGGCTCACCTTTTGGGACCTTAGGACCAAAAAGTCGAGGGGTGGAAGTGACATATTGTTCATACCCCTTGGCTTCCCCGGGTTCCAACCCCACTGCATCAACAAGGGGAAACTGAAAAGGTCACATCCGCTCGATTCGCTTTGGGCAGAGGGAAGGGTTCGGGAAAGGATCCGGAAGGGTTCCGGAAGGCCTTGTTTGTGCTTCAGGAGCTTGCTCTTTTGGGGGGCCAGTTTTTTCGGGACTTGGTTTGTAAGACAACATGCCTTTTTGGAAGGCCCTGCTTTTTCCCTCACATTCAGCTCGCTTGCAACCTCTCTCTCTCTCTCTCTCTTTCCCCCTCGCTCTCTGTTTTTTCTCTTGTCGGAACCCTCTTTGACCAAGCAAGAAAGGAGCCAATTAAGGAATCAAAAAACACCATACACAAGGCTGGGCTAGAACTTTCGTGCCCCAAATTTGGCCCCTTTTGGACTTCACGCCTGTGAAAATCGCTGGCAGTCCGTTCTGCAAGATCAGCAAAAGGAGGATCTTCTGCCATGCCTGGCAGCCCATTGATTCAAATCATTTACCTCTATATGTGATTACGCCGCTTTTACAACCAGTAGTGGGATACACCATGCACCTTCTGGGCGGGGTTTAAGTCAACTCAGCTCGCCTGAACTCGAGGCACTGGGCACAAACAAGCAGCCAGAAGTTGACGCACCAGCAGAGCCATACTGTGGATGGACGAAATCCTGTACCCCTTTTTAAAAAAGAAACCCTGGAACGATGCGATTCCCCCCCCCCCGTAATTACCAACAAACGTTATGGTTTCAACCGTGGCTTCAAAGTGGTGCGAACTGGATTTCGTCCATCCACCGTACAGTATTGTCAAATCCCCTTAGAACATGTTCATCACCTACATACTCTTCCCCCAAATTTCCCGGAGTGGCTCCGCAAACATAAAACGAGTCCAACAATACGTGAACATGGAGCCCGCAGCCCGCAGCCTACCTAAGCTTAAAAAGCTTAAGCCACCCACAAAAGTTTGTGCTTGATCCTATGTATTGTTGCCCGCCAGCAACCAAAATAGCGAAACAGCATGCACACGCATCCAGAGATCAGCCGCATGCAGAAATGCGTGGAACATCACCCGGTTTTCTTCCTACAGGAAGAGACGGAAATCAACAACCGCATGGGCACACCACACACGACTGCTGAACAATGGTTTTGAATGCAAACCCGAAGCTGGGACGCGTCACCCCCAGCACGTAGAATGGGATTCGTCCACGGCATGCCTCTTTCAGGGCTGTCCTTAACGACTTGCTGTAGTACCTACTTTCAAGTAGACGTCTTTAAACATTGGTTTGCATTTTGGCCGACAGGCGAGCGGGTGAACATCTCTAAGTTTCGTTTAAGTTCCAACTTCTCCCCGCCCTCCAACTTGAACTTTTCAGGCAGGTCCTTGGCGCTCCAGAATGGCTGGCAACTCATGAATAGGGTTCTGAAGTGTTCTGAAAATGAACAACTGCCTGATTGGATTTTTTTGCTCTGGAAATCTACCTTGAATGAACACCTGCTTAGCAAAAGGCACAGTTTTGTTCAGATGTGAGTGCAGTTGTGTTTGGCGACCTGGTGGGAGCCGGGAAATCGTAGCGAAAAGAGAAGAGTATACACGAGTACACCTACCCTGACAAACGTCACTGCCAACTTGCAAGCCCCAACAAACTCACGCCTGGAGCCTGCGGAGGCCCCCGATCACCTTCGTGGTCTGCAGTATTTGACAGGCTGGATTTCAATCTTGGGCTTTAGCGCCTCCGCCACTGCTATGGTTTGCCGGCCTCGATGGTAGGGGCAGGACTCGGAGTGTCACTTGCGCCACGTTGGCGCAAAGACCTGCGTTGCGTGGCGCAAGTGCGCTTTAGTGGAAGAAGGCGTGACTTTTGACAGGTTGCTGGGCTGACAAGGGTGACAAGGGGTGGCGCTGGGTGACACCGTGGTCAGCGGACGTAGGATTTTTGGCCAGGAGCTTTGAGGATTGTTCTTGCGAGAAATGGACCATGGCATGCTCTTGTTCTGTTTCCCATCTATGTTCCGGGCCGGGAAAGGAGACTGCCGGAAGACGCGGGCTGGAGAGGACTTGGAAAGACTACGGGAAGAGCAAACGAAGACTCCGACGTGGGCCGGACCGGGGGCATCGCGCGACGGGGAATGTTCGGGGAGATTTCGGGAAGATACGAAAATCTGGCGGAAGACTACGGAAAATTTGGAGCAAGACGGGGCGCGAGTCGCGCGGGCGGGGAAGACTCGGGAAGAGCATATGACAAATTAAATTGCGGGAAGCCCAAGCGCCAGGAGTTCTACCGCCCGCCGCGCCCTGGGACGCAGGCGGACTGGGCGCGCTGGACTGGGGAAGAGCGCCAAACGACTGCGAGACTTTGTCCGCGTCGCGCGGCGGGTCGTGATTGAAGACTTGAGGAAGCCTAGTTACAAAGGACAGGCGCAGACTACGGAAAGATTACAGAAACTCGGCGGGCCGGAGCACGCGCGGGCGGGGAAGACGGGGAACATTACGGCAAAGTTGCCGGAAAACTGCGGAGATTCGACAGGAAGGCTGCGCGCGCGCATTGTTCGACTCGGCCAGGGGAAACTCGGAAAAATATTAACTACGGAAAATTACGCGAGGAATTGGAGGAGACCACGGGAAGACGCTTCTACAGGGAGACTCTGCCGTGCAAAGGCGTGTCGCGCCCGCAACACCTCTGCTTGAGTGACGCAGGCCGCTGAAGATTACGGCAAGACTGCCTCTTCCTCCCCTTTCTGCAAGCAACTTCCGAGGCAACTTACATACTGCGTGCAACGCCCATCGCAAGTGGCGCCGCTCTGCGCCTGCTTCTTTCGACATCCACGTCTTCACACTGAAAGGGCGTGCCGCGTGACACACAATGTTCTTGCAGTCTTTTCGTAGTCTCCCCCCTTTCGTAGTCTCCCCCTAATCACCCCTTAGGCTTGCCACATAGTCTTCCTAAGTCCTCCCTGGCCCGCGTCGCACGACGTGGGGCAACCTGTGTAATCTCCCCGTAGTCTTTTGGAGGGGTGGAACGAAGCACAGGGGCGTGTTTCACATCAAGCCCGTTCACCGCCCCTCAAAGCCGCGCGCGTGATTCCGAAACGCGCGCAAAGGGTGGACCGCAAGGAGCGCACCGACCCAAGCTTAAATCTATGCCGGCAGCTTGTGTTTTTGCGTTAGCTGGCTCTGTTTTTTTGCACTGATGGAGCTAATCGCGCAAAAAGTGGATACCACTGCGTGGGCTCATTACAATGGGCAGTCTCTGAGCGAATCACACACCACCTCGAAAGTGTTTCATTGCTGGCCTGGAGCCTAATGCGGAGAAAGTTTTTCTGCATGTCTACAGGAGGTTATGAGTGGCAGTTGGCGTTTTTGCTGACCGCCAAATCGCGGCAATGGCCAAAGCCACTATAGCAATCTCAAAGGCGCCTAGAAACTGAACAGCTGCAGTATTTGCTCGCCACGGCGCAGCTGCTGCCAGAGCAGCTCTGCTGCTCAGCGGCTCGAGTGTCGAGCTCAAGGCCCTCTGCCCATCTCTGTCTAAATTATCCGCACGCCCCATCCCACTGGGATGCGAGAAAAGGATATCAAGCACTACATCACGCAACCTGTTCGGCAGCGCAAGCTCGTGCGTCACACTGACATACTCATTGCGTATTACGTGGGTTGGCCCAAACAACCCTAACCCTAAACACTGAACCTTGCCAAAACACAATAACCGGGTTGACTACCCAGACCTATCTTTCCGGCGAAGCACGCAGAAGCCAATTCTTATAAGGGGCCGGACATCAAAAAAAGACACGCTGCTTGTTGGCCGCCAGTAACCTGAAGTATCAGGTGTCCAGGCTGGACATCCCATAGCCAGCACTCAGCTTGGAGAAGTGTCAGGATGGGTGCGGAATTGCTACACAGCATTGCGTGCTTGCACGGGCCAGAAAAAGTTGGCTCTGAGGGTGTTCGGGCTGGACAGCTGATAGCCGGGGCAGTGAATTGTCAACCCCAGCCAGATGCAAGTCAAGGCTCCTGGAAAGCTGCAATCCCCAGCTATATCTGGGAAGTACCCATCGAGGGGAGTTGTTGGAAGTATGTAAGACAGCCCCTTCATAGATCTAATAACACTTCTCTGCCTGCGTGTTCATTGGGCAACGGGGTAGCTGTGAACGCCAACGCGACGGCTACAACTGCTGTCACCTAGCTGCAACACGTGGCGTTGCCCAACTGCGAAGATCTGCGCGCTTCCGAATCTACGGTGACGCAAGCAGTCTGCGCAACGATAGTGCTTGATATCGTTCACTCGCATCACAATGGATTGTGGCTCGTGGCCTTGCAAGCCTGGGGGCAATTTAGACGGAGATGACGCAACTTTCTGGCGTGCTTTTCCCCGGAAAGGCAGCCCAGAAGAGAAGTTTCAGAAGCCTTTTGCTGAGTGACACCTTAGAGCAGATGTTTTGCGCAGCCGCTTTAGGTGCCTTTGAGATCGCTAGTGGCTTTGGCAACTGCTGCGATTTGGCGGTCAGAAAAGTACCAGTCATAACCTGCTAGGGACCACCTGCAGAAAAGCTTTCTCAGGCGCACTAGGCAAATCAGGACTAAGTCCATGTCATACGCTCGCAGACTGGTCATTGCGCTGTGACGCATGCAGTCATATCCACTTGTTGCGCGATTAGCCCCCATCAGTGCCAAAAAACAAGCTAAGCGCAGCCAGAAGCTTGAGTTGCCCCTGCGATCCACCCTTTGCGCGCAGTTCGGAATCACGCGCGCGGCTTTGAGGGGTGTGGAAAGGCGTGTTTTTTTTCACGCCCCCCTGCTTCCTTCCACCTCTCCTCTGCCTCCCCTTTCTGCAAGCAACTCTTGAGGCAACCTACGCGCTGAGAACTGCGTGGCGCAAGTGCGCTTTAGTTGAAGGCGTGACTAGGGGGAAGTTGACAGGTTGCCGGGTTGACACTGGGTGACGCTGAAGGAAGTTGGTCAGCGGAACTAGCATTTTTGGCCAGGAGCTTTGGGGATTTTTCTTGCGGGGAATTGCTGACCGATGGGAGTTGACCGTGGAGCACAGGAATCGCCAGTTGTCATTTGTGTTGCCTTGGTTTCCCGTCTATTGCCCCAATCTACCCTCACCACGCCGTTTGCTTCGCTGTTTGCGCCGGCCCCGCGGTTCGCGCCGGGCGTGTTGGGCCGCGTCGCGCGACGCGGGCCGGGAAAGGAGACTGCCGGAAGACGCGGGCTGGAGAGGACTTGGAAAGACTACGGGAAGAGCAAGCAAGGCGAAGACTACGGACCGCCGGGCGCGTCGCGCGACGCGGGCCGGGGAACGCTCGCGAAGATTGCGGGAAGATACGGCAAAGTTGGCGGAAGACTCTTGAAAGTCTACAGCAAGACGGGCGCGCGTCGCGCGACGCGGGCCGGGGAAGACTCGGGAAGTGCGTAACGTTAACAAATTAGATTGCGGGAAACCTTGGAGAGGACTCAGGAAAGACAATATAAGACAAGTGCAGGGAGTTTTACCGCACACCGCCTCCCGGATGCGATGCAGGCGGATTGGGCGCGCTGGACCGGGGAAGGGTGCCAAACAACTACGAGAAGACCATGAGAAAACTACGCCCGCGTCGCGCGACGCGAGTCGGGAAACCTGGAAGACCAGA